ATAATAGATAATTCAGTTCATGAGAAGTGTGCCAAATTTCTTCTTAATGCTCTTCAACTAAGGTGTGTTCTAATAATCAGCAAATGTCTCTTCTTTTTGGAAAGGAGTTATTTCAGAGAACCCATTTTAACTAGTACATATTTCATTGGACTCTTCAAACAAGCCCCTCATTTCCAAGTTTCTCTTACTGTGAAGTTCCTCATGGTTTGTACCATGAAATCAACTGAATTCTTAGAGAAGATTGCACAGGGGTATCTGTATGGTTTAGTAGCACAAACTGCACCATCCTGCTCTGATTTTTATAATCCAGTGTGTGAATATTTTAGATTTAGCTCTGAAAACTCCATATAATTTATTTTTGTACAGGAAACATAAACAGTAGAAATTGGGCATTTCTTTGATGTCTTTGGTCATAGTGCTTATTCAGAACTGGTCTTATTACTTGCTACAGCTGTATCTGGGCATTTTTCTTTAAACATGCTGGGAAGGTGGTGTTGTTTCTATAGAAAGCTGGTATGGCCAAGATATTCTTGCATTTTAATTCAACTTAAACAGCAACAGAAAAAAAAAAAGGCTTATTAAAATAAAATATTAAAAATATGCTCCAAATATGATGTGTCAAGTAAAAATTGTACTAATGGTGTAAAAATAAGATAGCTACCTATCAGGTGCTTTGATTGAATTGGCAGCTGCAAAACAAATGCAGCTTGAGAGCCCCATCCACCTCTCCCAGTGGCCAGTTCTTGGTGCCTCTTTTGAGGACGTTTATCAGAGAACTTTTTACGATGTCTTATCAGTCTTTGACTTGCACCTTGAGTGCATCTGCAGCTTGTCCAGGTTCCCTGGATCTAATCACCAGCAAGACATTCACAACTGACTTAAGCAGCACAAGCCTTCCCTTCCCTTCCCACTGGCCACAGTTGCAGACATGCAAGAGAGACATCCTCCTCAGAGCAGAGAGGAGCCGCTCTCTGCTTCGCTCTGTTTGGGTCAGGACCAAATGAGAGACACTTCATAATTTTTGTATATGGGAAATAACTTTGATTCTGTCTGTCTGAAGTCTTGTTATGGTTTGTAAAGCAATTAAGTAGGACTTAGGACACTTCTCCCAGACAGAAAGACCTTAGACAGAAAAATGTACTGTATTACTCTGGATATTAGTGCTGTTGCCAGATTTGAGAGGTTTCATTTTATTATTGGTACTGTGCCTATTTTGGGTGAAAATGTACTGCAAATAGTGAGGTACTAGGCCCACATATAAAATATTTCTCTTCAGATATGGTTAGAAAAATGGGAGTCATTCAGCAAGACATTTACAAAATATATCCAACTGCTTATATGGAAATGCTAATCAGAGTTTGTATCCTGAAATACTCCATATAGCTCGTGCAAAACATTACTGAAGGCCACTGTAAACAATACTGTTTTAGTTAAAAAGCTGTTTCCAAGATGAAAGATAGATTAAATGAGCTGCAACCTGTATGAGAAATTCTTCATGAGGAATTAATGGTAGAGCTTTTCATAATCTTTCATGCTTTGGCAAAAAATATTAGCACCATAAAAATTCTTCAGGGGGCAGAGTTGAGGTGGTAGCTGCAGAGTGATCAAAACATAAAAGAGGAACATTTTCCCTTCTTATGGAGAGACCTCTTTCAGATCTGTCATATGATGGATTTGAAATGAAAGTTTAATGCGCTCACAGTTTCTCAGACAACCATCTTTCTACAGCTTCATTATTAATAACAATTTAATCTTAACCAGCTCTTGTTTTTCTGAGCTCTTGATAATTCATTTACCTTATTTGTTTAGCATCAATCTAAGAAAAAATACCCAGATCATAAAGTTTAGGAAGTGTTCCACATTAATAAACCAACGCAAAATGAGTCTCCAATAAATTTTGCGGAAGTGTTTAATCCACAGTTGCTTGAATTAAAAATAGCATATAAATTGCAAGTAAATAATGTGACTGACTTTCATATTTAACCTGTGTGCAATGGTTATGAGCCATAATTTTTCCTCACAGCCCTTTATGAGTAATGGTGAGGCCGTTTTCATGGCTGAGGTTGTATAAAATATTTTTCAACTAATTTTTATGGTACAGAGATTGTTTTATGAGTGTGTTAGTAAAGTCCAAAAAGGTGGGAAGTTCACTCTCCATGACTTAGTCCCTCCAAGTTTGTGTGGCTGCAGCACTGTCTGTCCACTCAAATCCATAGGGTATTTTGCTCAGGGAGAATTAGAAGTCTGAAACTTCACCCATTGAGGCTCTTTAGTGGGGGACAAGTGGTCCAAGGTCAGTCCTATGTATTTCCTTGAAAGTAAAGACTGTCAACGACATGAGCTTCTGTCTCATAGGCTCAGAGTTGGTGGTAGCAGCTGTTTTTATCCTTAACCTTTCGAACATCTTACATTTTGTCCAGAACCATAAAAAAAAAATTCTTACAGTGTAGGAAGAAGGAAATGCAATAATATAAACTCATTTAAATAAAATTGTTTACTTTTATACCCATTCTATTCAGTTTCTACTTGGTTTTCCTTTAAAAGCAGATTTAATACTATTTAATTTTTTTCTTGCAGAAATTTGGATATTAATAATAAAGACTAAACTAATTTATATTTTAAATTTATAGATTGCACATGTGTTTTCTTATCCTTTGTTATGAAAAAGTTACTTTGAAAAAGTAGGTTGCTGTGTCCTTTGCCTCTGTCAGAGGTGTGACAGTACTGGTTTGGTGCAGGGATAGTTCATAAATCCCATGTGACTGCAATTCAGACATTTGTCAGTTATTGGGTAATACATTAGTGGTGCATACCTCTGCTGCTGCATAAGGCAAGCCAATGCAAGCTGACTTGAGATCACAGACAAACCTGAAAACTGGAGTTGGTTGGTGTTTGAAGACTGATAAAGTCACACTTTGTGTAATGAACCATTACTCTTCCAGTCATGAATAACAATGGTAAGGATGTAGGAGAGACCTGAGTATGATGGTATCTAAGCACTGTTCACAGAATTTATCAAAAACCACATGAAGTCATCTGCTATGAAAGATTTCAGCAATATGAAGCAAATTATATAGTTGGGTAGTCACCAGCAACCCCTCCTATAGGGGAAAAAGACTTCAAATTTTAAACTTCATCAGACCAGGACACTTGCAGTGCAGTCCCTTCTCACAGGATCTTCTGTCCTGAGTCCTTCTCTGCTGAATTGCCTTTGAGCCTGGAGAGCAGCTGTCTTTAGTAGGTCCAAGGTAGAACTTGCTCTGTGCGTGAAGATATTGATCTGTCCAATTCCCTGGATCTTGTAGTGGCCATTTAATCAACATATCTATATTTGCCTGCCTCTTTATCTGTAACTATGGAATTTTCACAATACAGGTTTTCTTTCAACAGGGAGGTACTCAAAGAGGAGTAGTGAAGTGGTTGCCATGGTTTCTGAAATGTGGCAGTAGTGTTGCACTTAAAATCAATTTATATACAAGAACAGTGATCCTTGCAGGGTGGCTCTCTTTCTATCTTGCTGTCTTTCTATCCTAACATGGTGGCCCTGTTCCACTGGCATTCTGTGATGCTTTTCTGCACACAGTCATGCTGGTGGTGTTCACTGAGGGGGCTGCAGCAAAAGCAGAAAGACTCCTTCTATTTATTAAGTTAATTCAGATGTCTGGAATATGTACAAACAATTGAAGTTTCTTCTCTAATGTGCATTACATTGGAATTAATGGCATAAATTTAATTTCCCATCATTTAGGCCATGCATGTAGACTTCTTAGGTTTTTTCCAGTAACATAAATAGTTGTATGTAGTTTTGAGAGCATTTTAACTAAGCATCTCAGTTGCTGGGACACAGCACAGAAGAAACCGTCTCTGGAATAACTGGGTCCTTGACCCTAAATTTTTGTAAGTTCAAAGCTTGAACCTTGAATTTACATTTTAAAAAGTAAATTACCAAGCAATATGCAACCAAGGGTATTAGCAGATTTTGTTGTCTGTTTTAAAGCTTGTATTTAAAAGCAAATTCTTTTGTAATAAAATTGACAATCCATGAGTAGAGACTTCAGAGAAAGGGTTTTGTCTTTCCTGTGTGCTTAAACAATGTCTAATGTGGTGTCAGCCTCAAGATATTACTATATTTCTAAATAATATATAACTAATATTGCATACGGTTATGCACATATATGTGGCAGGAGTTTCTGACCTTAGTCACATAGACAGATAAAGGAAATAGGAACCAGAAGGAGCAGAAGCACTGAAGTCACCAAAGTAGTGACTTGCCCATGATAACAAAGGGAATGCACTGCCCAACTGGATATTGGATCCATATTTTATGCTTCTCTGGCAAGTATCTGAGTTGCAAGTCACTTTTATTTATGCAAGAGAGCTCATTATTCCAAACTGTGCTGCGGATCAGGGCTCTGCAGATGTTCTGGCAAAAAAATCCTGTTCTGGAAAGGAAACAGAGGCAGTGGCCAAATGGCTCCATGAAGAATAACTGGAATATTTTAGCAACTCAGGAAACTCCTGTGCCCCTAAATTGTTTGGTGTTCTACTTCGTGTAATGTAATGATTTTCTGTATCTGACTCAGTGTTTTGTTCTGCCTAAATCACAAAATAATCGATTCAATGAGAAGAAAGTGGAGGAAAAGCACTTCCTCAGCATCCGTGTGTGTTCAGCATGTACCGCTGCCTCGCTGAGAGTCATGTGACCATGCGAGACCTGAGAAATTGTTGGAAAAGTTTTCCAAATTGTCTTTAATTCTTCTTTCTTTTCCTGCAGCATAAGCATACAGAATGTTCAGACAAAACTTTCTAAGATTGGTTTGTGTTTGGGGTTCTCTTTCTCCACAACTGCTAATCCAGTTGTTTTTCCAACAGCCTCATCCCTCAGCATTGGACAATCCCTAACAGTGTACTCTACTCCTTTGGGGGTTTGGTTGGGCCCCGGTTCATGAAGGTGATTTCCTCTGATCCATGTCCTTGTGTTTCTGTCCCATTCCCTGCAGCCCTGCGGAGCCGCTCGGGACGGTCCATCATCAATGGAAACTGGGCAATCGATCGTCCCGGGAGATACGAAGGTGGTGGGACAATGTTCACTTACAGGCGCCCAAATGAAATCTCCAGCACTGCAGGGGAGTCGTTTTTAGCTGATGGTCCAACAAATGAGGTCCTTGATGTCTATGTGAGTTTGTATTTATTCTTCGTGATGGAAAACCAAAATGTCCAGTTCCTTGTTAACATGCAACACTAAAATTACATTCAGTACCAGTACTGTGTTACTTTAATTTTGATACATTACTTTTGTTATTTTTCACGTGTTTGCTGTTGTTTCCATCTTGCTCCAGGTCATAGGAAATCTAAATCAAGCCCTTTTCCCTCAGAGTTTACTGATCCAGTAAGCCCAATTTTACTTGTTCGGTAAAACAGAGATAAAACATACAAATGTTTAGGGGTTTGTTTGTTTGTTTGTTTTGTGAACTTGATTTTCTCTAGATACTTTTCTATTGAAGCAAAATTGTTTAATTGCAGCAAATAGTTTAATTTTACAGTGAACAAACAAATACCTAAGCCAGACAAGGCCTTTCACAGAGGTATACCATCTCAGTTTCCTTTAAAAGAAACAATGCAAAAAACCTATAGGATGTTAGATTTGAAGAAGGACAGGTTTAATATGAAGCTGTGCTAGGAGACTATAGATAATAGCTATTTGAGAAAGGAAGAGAAAAGACAAATTGTCCAAGAGGGAGAAATCATACTGAAAAAGCTTTGTGCTTCAGATGGGACAGACAAGACCTCTCACAGAGGGATACCATCTCAGTTTCCTTTAGAAGAAACAAGGACAGGTTTTTAGTTCATCATACTGAAGTATAAAATATAACTGGAATTCATTATGACTTATTCAAATATAAATGATATGTTCTTAGATCATACACTCCCACAAAGTAAAATCAATTTATTGGGGGGGGGGAAAAAAAACAAAAACAAAAACAACAAAAACCCAAACATTTTAACTGATTATATGATTGTTTCATCCAGCTATGGCTTTTTTGTCCTTGAGTGCATTAGGGAGTGGAAATTGAGTGTGCTGGGTCATTTCATAGAAAAATTAACAATAACTGCACTGATTACTAAGCTGGAAAAAGTTAAATATTGGCAAAGTTATTCCTCATCTGCTGGTGCCTTAATAAAGCAGTGTAATAACTATGCTAATATTAGAATCATTAAAGTTGGAAAAGACCTCTAAGATCATCTAGTCCATCTGATCCAAACTTCTTTTCCAATTGAATGCAATGTACAACTGGCAAAAGCCTGGAAAAATAAGTGATTGGGTTAGTGGATTCTTTAATGCAGAGTCTATGTTTTTAAAATCCATGTGTCCTTTTGCAGTTACAGGGTTTGTGAGCTGAGGCTTGGCTGTAAGTTTTTATTGTCAGCTGATTGATGCCTAATATGTAATGACCCAGAGAGAAAAGGCTCAGGAAATGGATTAAACAGATATTTCCAAAGTAATACCATAAAAAAGTCTGAAGTTTAAATTTATGATAGTGTAATGTTTTAGTTTAGGCTTAGTCTCTTTCGTTTTTTTCTTTTTTTTGCTTTTGCAGTGACTCGTTAGAAGCTGACATGATGGGCACAGCTTTATCAGTTTGCTCTGTGGCTGCTGGTGTGGATTGCCACGTCTAATTTGGCTGGACTCTTATCTCAGATGTTTCTTGTTCATATGAGGAATACTACAATTCATTATAAGATGATAGCTTACTGTCTTTTTCAATGTAGTGTGGGAAGATAAAACTGGATAGTGCTAGATGAAAGAAGATCAATCATCAGCATGACACAGCCTCTCTTATGGGTTTGAAATGTGTAGCCATGCAGATACAGATGTCTTTCTTCAGACTTTGTCTTACCAGAATCATGCAGTTCTCTTTTCATCCATACTCATGATCTTTATGCTCTGTGTAGCAGAATGAAGACATTTGCAGATGGGAACTCCAAATGGCTTTCTGTTCTGTTTTCCTGAGATCATGCTGTCTTTCTACCACTCTGAAAATGTAGAGGAAAAAGCTCTCTGATTTACAGGATATTATAAATAGCGAGATAAAGAGATGCAAGTTCTGTCCAAGTGTGAAGGTTACTTTGCTACAAAGACTAAGGTCCACTAACACAGAGCAAACTATTCTATCATTGCAGGTATTTTCCTGTGGGAAAGCTGGGACAATATACTAATTAGGGACTTCAGCAGTTAAGCTCTTTATAACATATGTCTGTCAGTTGTTTTGAGAGATGTGATGGAAAAACCATAGGAACAATTGGAAGGTTGCTTCTGGAACCATCTAAAGAGCAGAGTCCTGGTTCTGGAAGGGGCAATATACTCTTCTACTGAAGTCAGCTCACAGTTCTTGGTTCTCTCAGGACCAAACACAAAGAGGGTGTATTTTTTGTATAACAAAGTGACATTGGAAGGAGCAACCCATACAAAAAGTACTACGAGCAGTGCATTATTAGATGGTTCAGAAAAGTGAATGATCTCTGAGGGACAGAGTTTAGAGGAACAGCTATTATATTTGGCAAGGAAAAAGTGATTCTGACTCAAGGAAAAACAAAGATCTGAAACCCTAGCTGGTATTAATTGATGTGATGAATTTAGTCAAGCCTTGAAGCATTAACTGTGCTCTGCTGGATCATTAGGCCATTAGCATAGCATGACTTTTTTTTTAGGTCCATGGATTGTCAGAACCCAAGAGCTAGTGCAAGCTCTGCTGTTTTCTTGCAGAGCTTGTTTTTTGGGTTTGTTTGTTTTTTTAAAAAGTTACTTTGAGTGTAATCTGAGGCTTCTACCAGACTAACCCTCACTAAGAGTGCAGGACTAAAGTATAAGTTAGAAGCAGTACTGAAGTAATCAAAGCAAAAGTAGTGAAATAAACAGCTTATGATACCCTTGCATTCCTAGTGTGAGAATGCTCAGGCTCACAGCAACAACATGATAGAAGCCAGTTGGGTATGGAGCGTGCTACTAACATGTTTTAAAAGCTATTATGAAGTCAAAGCCTTCTCAGGTCCCATTACACCTCTCTGCTTAAACAAGCGTACCTGAAGTAACAGTGACTATCAGAGGCTGCCTTGTGTCAGCTCACGTGGGCCTGTGTAGCAGCACTCTGAAAACACTCAGCTTCACTTTCACATTTACCTTACAATTCCTGCCTTTGTTTCATAATGAACACTTTGATAGAGTTGTGGCTTGCTGTAAAGCAGTGGGAGTCTGGCTGCCCTTAGATTTTACATCTTCATTCAGCTGAAAATGAGCATGGAAGGATGCAGAAGGTTTGCATGGGCACTCTTCAGCTGCTATAACAAGAACATGGGCCTTTGTAATGTGTTGTGTTCAATGTCTTTGTGGAGCAGGGCTTATGCTGAGGGCAGCACAATGTCAGCAGTTTTAGCTGGGTGGTTGCTGAGGGTCTGTGGAGTGGTATCTGCACGGTGTGTAAAGGAACAGTTGGATGTGGGAGATGTACATGCCAAATAACATGTGTGTGCTGCGTGCATGTGCTCTGTTCAAGTTTTACAGGTGACCCTTTAAAAGGTAGAAGGCTAAATGTGTCCGTTGGGGGTTGTGGTATTTGTTTTTCTCTGCTTTGTTCCTTCCTTGCTCTCATTTCCTCAGGCATCTCTCAAGCTCCTGCTCTCTGAGAATGTTTTGTTAACCTTAGGACTGTCTCTTCTGCAGCTGAGGCCTGGTATGAGCCTCTGCTGCTCACGCTGCTGAGAGGCGCAGTCTTGGCTGGGGCAGCCACAGCCCACCTTGGCCCCCAGCAAGGCAGTTTTACATTTTTCAATGAAGATTTAGACAAATAGTTTCTGTGCCATCATAAGCTGGCTCAGTTTGCAAACACAGTAACTTGTATTTTCTTCTTTACAAACAGTAACTTGTATTTCTTTCTTTCTGTATTTTTTGGAGACAGTCATTAGCCATTGCTTCTATCATGACTAGCAATAAATAATGTTATGTAGCTGAGCATTTCAAGTTGATATTTAAGTAGCAGTAACAAATGGAAGGACTCAATATATGGCTGTTTTTCTTTTTAGATGATACATCAGCAACCTAACCCAGGCATACATTATGAGTATATCATTCCAGGAGACAATGTCATTAGTCCTCAGCTGCTTGCTCACAGGAGGCCAGGTAAAATGCCACTATTTCCTATTATTTAGCACATTTTGTTATCCAATAAACTAATGGAGAAATTCATACAATTAAATTCAGTGTAAATGCTGCCATTGATGTGGGAGAGGCCCAGAATTTCACCCTACATGTTGAATGAGATGTCAGCGTGAGATGTAGTAACTTCAGTGAATTAATACAGGCTGGGATTATTTATACTTTAGCTGGGAATCTGCTGACAGGTTTCTACTTTCAGTAACAGTTCTGTTATTAAAATGTTAGCCATGGGTTTGCATGAGCTGGAATGTTGTAACCTTGTCTCAGAAATGAAATAAAACATGATTTTTCAGAATTTTAGATAATTTGAAACAACCCTTCACAGTTTCTCTTTCCCCTCCCAGCTGGAGAGGATCAAACAGAACAGTGTTTCTGTCCCAAGGCAGAATCTGGGCAGCCTGTGCTCCTGACTGAACTGTGGATGTGTGCTCTGTGTACTCTGTGAAGTCCTGAAATAGAGCATTTGCAAGTGAATTTGGTCCTTATTTTAATGGTCATGACTCGCCTTGAAAAATTTCTAAGTCTGTTTGCAGCTTGTCTGTGATGAGGATCAGCTGTGCTGGGACATGGGGAGACACAACACAGGATGCAGAGCATGGCACAAAACAAAAAAGCTTTGGGAAATTTTGACACACTGGGTGCATTAACTCTACAGTGTGTTTGAAGAGTCTTAATGTATTTGTTGTCTGAGACTTGGTTATCTTAGTTTAAAACAACACAGGTCACTTTGCAGGTCACTATTAGGATTTCTCTACGTAGCATATTAAAGCTGCTTCCAAATTTAATGAAACTCCAGTTCTGATTATTAGTGGATCAAAGCACAGACTGATATTTACATGCGAGGCTCATTCTCATTATTTTACTTTTCTGTTGTGTGTCCATCATCAGGGGAGCCATTGAATGGTCAGTTGGGAATGCCAGAAGGTACAAGTCATGAGGATGAGGATTTGCACAGAGAGACAGACATTCTCACTGGACAGTCAGCTGGAACTTTTCCAGTTATTCAACCAGGAAGATTTCCTTCTCATCAACCAGAAAACCAGGTGCCTGCTATGCAACTGCCAAGACAAAACCGAGAACACAACTGGAAACAGGTTGGAAAAACTGAGTGCACAACTACCTGTGGGAAGGGTAAGTGCTTTGTACACTGTGCACAGGTAAGAAAGAGATGGGTCGTGGGAGGCTTCCAGCATGGGAGAGTAGAAACACAGCGGGGAAAAGCAGTGTGACTATTCAGCAACTCTTGTGCACACAAAACACCTGGTGTTTTCTGTTATCTTACAAGCCAAAGTTATGTCAATACTATTATGTGTGCTTCTGTTTAAATCAGTGGAAACAACAGAATTGAAAATACAAAATACAAAGCATGGAAATTATAAGGAAACATGTGCCTTTGAAAGGAAATATTTCCGCATTTATGGCAAGCTGCTCTCTCCCATTCCCTGGATACACACCTGTTTTCCTCAACATTCTTTGGCATTCTTTACCATTTTGCCTCTGCAACTTTGTCAGATACACCCTCAGTGCTTTTTATGTCTTTGTCAACAGTTTTCTGATTTTTTTGGGATAGATTTCATCAACTGTGTCTCTACCTCACTGCATGTGGCTGACTTTAGGGATCAGAGATTTTAACAGGGAAGAAGTGGGAGGAAGAGGGACAGAAAGGGACTGGTAATTACTGAGCTCTTGGGAAGTGATGCCTACATTGCTTGAATGTACTACAAAGATTAATCTTTGTTGTCAGACATTGAACATGACCACAGATTCAATAATGCAGAGCACAGGCAGTAATTGGGAAGAGTAAGTTTTGTGATAGTAAAAGTGAAATCTTTTGTAACACGCATCCCCATACCCAAAAAACTGCAGAGGGGTCAAATAAAGAAGTACCAGGTGACTGTCACCAGTTCATACATATGGAGAGCAAATTTGGTCCAAGGGCAGATGAATGTCCATGTTATAGCTGGACATTCACATATGTACAGACAGAGCTAAAAAAATCCATCAGTATTGATACCAGTCAGAATTGCTTTTCACTTAAAAAAAAAGAAAAAAGTGAAACTTTCTTCCTTTGAGAAAAAGTATTAGAGCTGATATACAGCCCATAATATTCAGAAGGCTTCCTGAAGTCAGCCTTTTTGTGAAGAAAAAAAGGGCATCTAAACCCAAAATTATTTCAGTTGCCATTTAAGCACACTGTGTGCTTTCAGTACAAGTCATATTGTCAGAATCTTTAATTGTGTCTGATTATTGGTTAGCAACAATCAGTGAGTATCACCTGCTGAGTGACTGAATTTTCAATGTCATGGTAAATTTTAATATCCAGATCAGGTAATTTATGATGCAGTTGCAGGAACACATCAGTGTAAATGTATTCTTCCTTTACATCGTAGAAGTCTTGGTTGTGTATCCTGTGGCCCTTGCAGACATTTGCACGTAGTTCTTGTCATTTCTGCAGATATCTGGTCACACTTGACAGTGGTAATAATGAAATCTGAGTCAAAATAATGATAGTAAAATTGTAGGATTTAGGAAAACAAAATTAAAAGCATATCTTTCAGCCTCCTATACAGCTTAAATTCACTCCCTGAAATTTAGCAAGGAAACTGCCAGAAATAAGTGTCTCTTTTCCCGTTATTTGGGGAATGTGGGCATGTCCTGGTCAAATTAAATTCAAAAGAAACTGGATCTTGCGAGCAGGATCATTACACTGTTGGGACTGTATGAACATCTCTTGTGATCTTGGTGTGAGAACCCTGTGTGAATCTGTGATGCCCCTAAGGCATTTCAGGCCAAACTGGGTTATACAAAATGACAAAGAAGGGAGTAGAAAAATCAGGAAAAAAGTCTTTTACTATTTAGGGATTGTTTTCATTTTTTATCCTTCGACATAGGACACTTTCTTCTTTTTTCTCTTCTCCACATTTTCTATTTTCTTTTACTTTATTTCTTCATGCAGAAATGCAGATAATAAATGGGGTTTTATTATTTTTTAATGGTCCACAAAAAGCTAAATTACATTAGGACAGTCTAAGCTGCAAGAAAGAAGAAAGAAAGAAGGAAAGAAAGGAAGGTGAAAGAAAGATTATTTTTGTGCTACCTAAGGAAAAAGGGAGGCTAAATTAGTTTTGCTGAAAAACTGTAAGATTTCAAAGCACTTCAGTAAAACTTTGGCTTGCGGGGAAAAAAAAAAAAAGAGTATTATATCTTTTACAAAGTGAAAATGAGAACTGCCACCATTTTAAGATGATTGAGCAAATAGATCGGCTAGAGTTTGGACGGTGTGAAAACTGCTGCCACAGCCTGTGTATTTAAACAGGCTCAGAAACGAGTGTCTCAAAAAAAGTTCTCTACACCTTGGAAATGACTTGGGATGTGTAATTTGTTCCCAGTCACGGCAGTGAGACTGTTACCTTTTTAAGGAAGAATTAGAAAGGAGATTAAAGAGTGCAAAATGCTGATTTTTCCTTAGATTTCAGAAAATTTGGTTGCTTTTTCTGAATTATCATTGTAAGGTAGCTGGTGAGATATAAAGCTCTACTTTTCAATAAAATTAACTTATCGAACAAATATAACTTTTGTGAGAATTGCAATTTTAAGCTCTCCATCCCTAAACTAAAGTGTGCCAGCCAACAGTTGCCATCACCTATGGCCACCTTTGTGTGCTTGCTTAAACCACCTGGGTTTTGGTTTTTACCTCATCCTATTTGTGATTGCAAACACTGAAAATCAGACAGTCGTGACTCTGTGTTGTGCACTACGTCTTGAAATTCTGAGCTATAATTGCTAATAACAGGATCAGTCAGTATAGTTTTACTTTAAAAATACAGCCTTATCCAGAAGGCTGTATCACACATCATCCATGTATTTCAAAGGCAAAATGACAAACGTGAAATCTGCAAAGGAAAGCATTCCAGGAAAAGGAGGAAAGCATTCCGAGAAGTTTGTGGGAAGAAGTGTAAACTGTGTATCTGCTTGTCTGGTTGAATAACATTCCACTTGTGTTTATTTCATTCTGTGGAAGGAAGTTAGGTCTAGCCTAAGCAAAATCTTTCTTTTTCAGTTCAAAGTTAATTTTCCCGTTTGTGGTTTCTTTCTCAGCCTAATCCTGAGTTTCTGCACTAATCAGGCTCCAATACCAATAAATGATTAGTCGTTCAGAGTTATTTGCTGTAGGACAACCCAAAACAACTAAAATCACCCAATTTTTAAGTCAGTGGGTCTGGCTTCAAGTGGTTGAACTGGTTGTACTTTGACCACTTCTTCTTGACTGAGTTGATGTACTTTAACTTTTTGTTTACCAAGTACAAGCTGACGTGTTGGCACCAGGCTCTTTGTAGTAATAGTAGAGTTCTGTCTCTCTGCTCTGACATGAAAGTAACTTAAAGACTGAGCATTAAATATGGAGAGTAGTCATTTTTGGTGATGTTTAACGTGTAAGCTTTGCCTGATGGATCTTTGCAAAATGCAGGTAAAGTGGATGATGTTCTTGTGCATTTACTCACCACGTAACTCTGAAGTCAGGAGGCTCAGGCTCCTTTCAGAAGCACAACAGAATAACTGCTCATTTTTTCCTCCTGCCAAGCCAGTTGACTGCATGTTTTTTGAATTGCCTAAATACTTAGTGTTTGTACTCTGTGCACTGTAAAGATCTCGTGCATACCCAGGAGCATGTTTTCTCAGCCTTTCCTACAGTGCTGTGATATACTTTCTAAACAGTAATAACTTCTCATAATATTGCAATGTAAACAGTACAGCATTCAGCTCTTACATTGTGTTTCCTGTTGTCAAGTTATGCTTTTGCTTTTGTCGTGGTTTTAGGTAGCTCTCATAAACCAGGTGAAGAATTTTCTCCCTTCCCCCCTGGTTAGCAAGATAAGCACTTCAGAATACAAAAGACCTAGCCCCATGGCTGATAGCCTGACATTAGTCTCCTAGGAGACAAGGCAGATAAGGACTTGCACTTTACTTTTTTCTCTTGTCTCCTGGACAACAAAGTGGGAGGAGTTGGGGGGGGGGGACTACAGTGTGTGGCTGGGCCTGGGGACGGCAGGACACGTCATAGGAGGAGAAGCTTGCTGCTGTCTCTTTTTGCCCTGAACCATTGCCAGCTGCAGTTTTTGCCTGAGGTGGCTTCTAACTAGTTGAAGATTGTGAGTTTTATTCCATTGGGAGAACTTTCTGTTTTATTGCTGGGGTTTTTTTTTTATTTTATTGTATTTCCTTTCCCTTCCCCCCAGCCTTTTCCCAGTGTGGGAAGGGAAGGGGAATCGAGGTGGGTTTTTTTGGTTTTTTCTCCGATACACCCTGGGGGTGTTGTTTCTTTTTTTTCCCTTCCCTCAACCCATGTGGCGGCAACCAGGGATCTCACAGCGCCGCCTGGTGATGGGCACCGGACATTACAAGTTCTGCTCCTCCAGTGATCCAACAGCGCCACCTGGTGACTACTGTAGGACACTACAAGTTTTGCATCTCCAGTGACCCGATGGCGCCCCCTGCTGACTGTGGTTGGAATTGCACCAAAGGGTGCAAAAATTGAACTGTTTAATTTTCCTTTTTCCGGTTTATCGGTTTTGTTCTTGAAGGGGATTATTGGTGGGTATAGGAGTATTGTGTGGTTGTTTTACTTGTTTTTTTTCCCCATGTTTCTGTTAATACACACATACCTTTTAATAAAGGGCTGTTATTTTTCCCTTTTCCATAATTTGTTTTCCTTCAATCGGAACCTCTTAATTTTGGATTTATAATTGCTTAGAAAGAGAAGTTTGGGTCTTTTCTCCTAACCCATCCTCAGCAAAAGACCCTTGTCTCATTTAAACTGGGACACCTTTCTACTTCAGTGTTGGATGCTACTGTTAGAACTGCAGAGACTTTTGCAATTCTTCACCTAATTTTCTTCTCCATTTCAGGATCACAGTACCCGATTTTCCACTGTGTCAACAGAATCACTCATGAGGAGGTCCCCGAGGGTTACTGTGACAGCAGTACCAAACCCATCCCAGAAGAGGAAGCCTGCAACCTCTTCCCATGTCCAGCTTTGTAAGATGTTACAATTTATGTCAAGTGAAATAAGGCAATGCCATTGAGGTTTTGCCTGTGAGAGAGGCTATTCTAAGCAGGAAATGAGTTTGAACTTCCAAGTCCTGTGCACTTGTGTTGTGTGTAGTAGATTTTTTTTCCTTAGTTGTTGTTGGCCTTCTTCCTCTTCACAGGGAGAATAGAGTTCAGAGCAGACAAAAGGGAAGTTGGCAAAAGTAAGTGTAACAGTTTCTCAACCTGTGTGTGACTGTTCAGGCAGGCACAGGCTACGTGGTCTCTGTGGGTACATTTTTTTCAAATGAGAGGTTTCTGCACTTACCTGTCTAAAGAAGAGGCTCCATAGGTTCTATCACTCCATGTTAGATCCAGGTGCTGCAGTGGCCACCTTTTCATTCCATGGTGTCATATTTAAAGATGAGACAGTGATTACATCAGCTCCCTGGTAAATACCCGCTCTCTTTGAATTGAGTAGTTCTTCAGCTCCAAGACTGGATTGTGAAGTGGTGATCCTTCTTTTCAGCACACCAACACAACCAGCTCAGCTGTGATTGCCTTCTGAAATGACACTGTGCTTTGCAATTGGCTAAACAAGAGGTATTCAATACTCAAAAATGAAAAATAAAAATATAACCACTCACCCAAAAGGACAACTCATTCAGGTGTATACCAAGAAAAGGGTTAAACATAGTTGCCATTATAGCAACGTTGACATAGGTCAATTTTCCATCTCTCTGGTGGTTACACACCTCAGTTCTCTTCTGAGCAGCAAGTGGCCATTCTTTATTCCATGGAGATTTCCAATGGTGCAAGTGCTGTTACAGTGTCAGAGATATCTGAAAGGAATTTCCTAGTGTGTATTAGATGCTTAGGAATTTCTGAAGCCATTTAGATGGAGATGTCTTCTCCCACTGAAAGCATTTTCCTCACCTTTTTCCTTCTAACAACTCACATTTATTCAAGATAGTATCAAGAATATAAACAAAGAAAAATAAATATTTAAATACAAATATTTTGCTTGTTTTTCACAAGAGTTCTGAAATAAAATACGTGAACAGTTCCAATACTTCCCTTATTTGTATCTGTCTTCATACTTGAAATGAAAACTGAAAGGGGAAAATTACATATTTGTAAAAAAGGTGACAAAATAAATTTAACAAAATCTTGGAATGAGAGGAATATATCTAGGGATCTTTTTCGTCTCTAAAATGAATTGTATTTATTCATTACTTATCATTTGCTATTTCAAATTTCGTTCATTGATGAATCAATGCCTGGATGCATTACATGCTTTTTGTGTTACTGCCATTTTTTAGAGCCTTTGCTGCAGAAAACCTTTATGCAGTACATCTTAAACTTTTGGGAAGTGTCATTAGAGCAGTAATATACATTATAGGTAAAATCTTTAAAAAACCAAACAGCTGTTAGAGGCTTAAGTAATGTTTATAATATGTCTTGAGACCATAAATTGGATCATCTGTCTCCATGTTTATTATATCAACCACTACAGGTGGATTGTGTATACAAGTGTATAATATTGCCTGATAAGACATTGTTTTGCAGTGCTTTAAGTGCTATTTCATAGGATTCTGTGCTAGCATCAGAATCATGTCATTCAAGTTCTGTTAAGATTAAGTATTAGAGAATTCTTTGCTGAAAAAGTATGTCCCCTTTTTTTTTTTTTTCACTTCAGCTGGGACATAGGGGAGTGGTCTGAGTGCAGCAAAACCTGCGGCCTGGGGATGCAGCATCGCCAGATCTTGTGCCGGCAAATCTATGCCAACCGCACCCTGACGGTCCAGCAGTACCGGTGCCATCACCTGGAGAAACCTGAGACCACCAGCACCTGCCAGCTGAAGATCTGCAGTGAATGGCAGATCAGGACAGAGTGGACCTCAGTAAGTGTGATTGACTAAGTCAGGGTGTGAAACCACAGAAAAAAAAGAGAATTTTCTTCCAAGTATCACTAATCAAACATGAATTCTGTTTAAAACAGGAAGGGGAATGTGGAAAGCCTTGGAAATAAGTACATCTTAGTTCAATAAACCCCTACTTCACTATGACCATTAAAGTTTCCTAACCAGAAAGAAGATGAAAAAACACAAACCATGCAGATGTTTCTGTACAGATAAGCTTTCTGAGCAATGTTTTTTTTACATACTGTGTAAGTAGGAGAGTCCTGAGAGGTTTGCCTGTGGTGGCAAACCTATTGCTCTTTCTCATAGCATGTAGAGCTTAGCTCCAGGAGTTATTTACTGTCACATATGTACTTAGGATAAAAGCAGTAGTCACTGTTACTGTAGTTGATTTGAAGCCATGCCAAGACTTTTAGATAAACGTGGATGGTACAGTTCTGAGATTTAATTTTTCGGTGTTGCTTACAACAGATTTGGTCAACTTGCCAACCATCTCAGTTACTTTCATGGCCATGGTGTGAAAGACAAAATATCCTGCTGTATTAAGAGAACTGATACACAAATCTTTCAGTATTCCATGAAACAAAGCAAAAAGCTTTTAGAGTTCCTGAATTATGTAGGTGGATAGAGCACAAAAAATTCTGGCTTAAACCCTCAAACTAAACCTACTTTTTCCTCTACTGGAGTGCTTCCTTACTCCTATTGCCCCCAGCCTGTGCATCAGGCATCAGATACCCAGAGATATCAGGTATCAGGCAGAGCCGTCAATGTTCTCTAAGGCTGGAGAAAAGAAAACTGGAGGAGAAGACCTCTCCTTGGAAGTGGGATTCAGAAGTTGTGTTTCTTTGCATTTAGCTTGCTTCATATCTGCTTATTGGTCAAGATCAAAATGATGCAGAGTATGTCAGCCTGTTACTTAAATGTCAGCAGTTCATTTTGATAAGTGCAATACGACCTGTTGAAGATGGGGTTTATGTTTTCCAAACATATCAGCATGATACACTGTTGAATACTACAGACTGAGCATATGATTTAATACTACTGATGTGTTTTTATTCCCTGCTCCGGGCAATCTAGAATAGTTCTATAGCTTCTGTCTCAGCAGGAATGAATGAGCTGGATGTTCCCAGCTCCCTGACAAGCCACTGCTCAGTCCTGATGCACCTCCCTTTTGTTGCAGTGTTCAGTGCCTTGTGGAGTGGGGCAGAGGACTCGGGATGTGAAGTGTGTCAGCAACCTTGGGGACATTGTTGATGACGAGGAATGTAACATGAAGCTGCGGCCAAATGACATTGAGAACTGCGACATGGGCCCCTGTGCCAAGAGCTGGTTCCTCACAGAGTGGAGTGACAGGGTAAGGCAAAAATGTATATCTATACAGCCATATAAGGAGTAATCTTATTTTCCATATTTATCCTCAATTGGTTGAACAGGCAAAAGCAAACAAAACCATAATAATCCCATGGGCATGTTGAGTTTGTGTTAAGATACAGGAATGCACAGAAAGGGCATGTGGGTATATGGCCAAACATCTGGATTTGGGATTGGCTCTGAGTCTGAACTTCCCAAAATATCGAGTGTGCTGAGATTTATTATTCTGCCTTGCTTAGCCCTGAGGCTCAAGATTCAAACTCTTAAAATTCAGACTCATTCACTGTTTTTTTTAAGGGATGCAGATTTGAGGCCTGATGTCTGGGTTTAAGTTCAAGCCATAAAACAATTACCTTGTAGCTGTGAAAAGAGGAGAACGACTTCCTAAACTCAGGCAAGCTTGATTCAGGCTCTTGTACTTTGTCGACATGGGGGGTTCTTTATTGCAATGAGTCTCTGCATGAAAGCAACAAAAGCAGTGGAGATTTACCTTGTTTTGTGGTTGGGCTCAGCATTGTTGTTCAGTGGTGATGTTTATATTCTTTCATTAAAAGGCTTATAAACATGGTCCAAGAAAAGCCTGGAATTTTGGTCTCTCTTGTGGGTGCTTGCCTGCCAATTTCATCTGCAGAGAAGTTGAGCCTTCAGTCTCTAAAATTCTGGTTGCATCTCACTTTTTCTTGACATAGAAATATTGCAATTTATCATTGAAGCTATCAGATTACATTAATAACTTAAATATTTTGTTGTTTAGATCATTTTGTGGTAGTATCTCTGAAAGCTGGGAATGTCAGGCTCATGGGCTGACCATTAACTTGGACCCTCGGATGATTTTGCACGTGGTTTAGATGCAGAGATGGAATGGGAACTTCACAAGTAGGACAGGTAGCTGATAATTAAATCACATAATTAAAAAGGCTGACAGACTCTTGTTACAATTAAAGACCTGCAAAATTTTCAGCCTCGAGACAACTCAAATAGATTTTCTAAAGAAAACAAAAATATAGACTAATAAATCTGTGCTGTTAACACTTTTTTTTCAGTATATTCTCTAGCACAGTATGGACAGAAGGTTACCAGGTGAAGTATAGGTATATTAGTGCAAAGGGCAAAGATTTTTCTGTAGGGGAAATGGCAGTGCCTTTTTTTTCCAAGTGAAGTACTTTCCAAGTACTTATTTTACAAGTAAGAGAGAAAAATGCATTCTATCCTCAAAGACATCTTTCTTGAAAAAGCTGGCCCAGCTGCTGTCAGCTAATGGTTCCACCACACAAAGTACAGTGAAGGTTCTAGCACCATTTTCTTCATTTTTCTACACTGATATTTTGCCCTCTGCAGAATTAAAAGCAGATTTTGACCTGAAGGTCATAACTGTAGAATGTTATTATGCTTATTTATATGTGTTGAATGAGACATAGAAGTGAAGCAGGTAATGTGGAAAATGTTGGGAGTTGTTTTCTTACCACAAACATTTTAGGGCCAGAGAGCAAAGAATGAGTTTTACCTTCTCAGTTTATATAAGTGTATGGATTCATTTCTTCCAAATGCTTGCTACTGTAGTTGGCATTATTCACCACCACTTCTGCCAGCAGTGGGTTTGGATTCACAAGGAAGATGTAAGGAACAGCTTATTTCAGGAAAAAAAGGTAGATTTGAGCTGGGATATGCAGAATCTTCTAAGCTTCACACGTACCTCATAACTGGGATGTTCAGAGTCACCCAGTGGCAGTGATTCCAGTGAAAGTCAGTGGAATGAAGGAGTCAACAGCTTTGCAAAGTCAGACCTTTGCCATTATCTTTCTTACTGTGCCGTGAAAGGGCTGTTTTTTAGGATCAGAAGTCTCTCTTTCTTTGTAGAGGAGGAGAGTGGTTCTGTTGAAAGACAAGAGGAGAATTCTGTCATGGAATGGAAAGGGGCATTCCCAGGTGTTTGGACTTTGCATGTGTAATTTCCCCAAACAATTCTTTACAAAGTACTTTAAGCCAAGCCACACTCCAGCAATAAGCACAGAACAGTGATGGGTAGCCACAAATGGTTCAGATAAGCAGCCAAAAGTTCAAATGCTTTAAAAAAGCTTGTTCAAGCCTCTTGAGTCTGCAAACTGTGGTGGAAATCTCACAAGAACAGACCTTCTTTGTGAGATTTATTACATGCCTACTTCAAGTCCCAGCTGGAAATACCACAGAACAGTCTTTCCCATTGTATTTTGATATTTCAGCCGTGGCTGGAAATAAGAGGTAAAAGAACTTATCCTAACTTTTGAGAACGTTAGAGCTTTGAAATGGTTGAGTTCAAACTTGGTTGCAGCCATAAGAGGAGGCCTGGTCTGTACTTTCCTGAACCCACTTTGCAAACACTTGGTGTGTACTGTTGCACATGCAGCAAGCAGAGGTTTCCAGAAGGCTGTCAGAGATCAGTTAAACACGTACTTTCTCTTTCTGCAAGGGATATATCAAACCTCCAGGTCAGGATTTATGTGATACATGGGGCATTACAGTATAGCCTTGGTTAATTAGTGAAACATCAAGAAAAATCACAGTAACATGAAAATTGCACTTGTCTTTACTACCAACAGATGTTAAATTTCAGGATTTGATAACTGTGGTACATATTTACAGAGAATTTGACAAAGGTATTCTTTAAAGTTGTTTAAAATAGGAGTGGGATCTAATTTAGGGATGCTGGAAAAACTTGGGGTTTTCTTATTTTACTGAAACCTTGCAAAGTTTTAATTGATGCAAAAAAATCATGCTAGTTGCCTACATCTTCATTATAGTTTCTGTGATTCTGCATTGGAAGATTATATCATGAAATTTCCCTAAATGTAGCTTTGGCAATATAACATACGTGCACTTAAAACCCTGCAGAGCACATACAAATCTATGTGTAAAAGTTGTGTTTCCTTCCCAGGGTGGTCTCTTTGTGGCTTTACTCTGTAAGTAACACTTGGCTGCCTTGTTACCATGTTCTCCACTCTTGTTTTCCCACAATGTATTTATGTATTTTATGGCCACCTTTTTCCCCCCATGGCATCAACCTTCTTGGGTTCAGTTTCTGCACACAATTGATTCTTTATATATGTAATTAAACACACCCCCCCACGTTCCTGAAACAATACAGTTCTTCATCTGTGTTATTTTGATAAAGAGGTATCAAAATCCATTGTATGTATGTATGTTACACACACACTTTCACCTGCAGAGCTTATGACGTGTGGCCACACTGGTGAAACATGTAAAGGAAGGAGGAAAAGCAATTTATCCTTAGGAAACAAACACTTCTTTTCTGAAAAATGTATTGTCTGTCATTTGTTTGGGACCATCTACTGATATCCCCCAGGCTCAATCTTGAGAGAAATAGAAGTTTTTACTCATTTCAATGGGAAAGATTGCAGGTTAAAAGTCTGTAGTAGCAAAGTGAGACCAATCTTACTTGTCTGTGCCTGTCTTTACACTTATTGCTCTACCTAGAGTATAAATAAGAGAATTAACTCAAGTTTCGTGGCTTTGACTTCTACATGATCTTTAACCTCTTTTGCCTATAGAGAGTCTGGACAAACTTTTGTGATATTTTTATGTGCATTTTTAGAAAGACGGCTTCCTGTCTGCTAAAGATGTCACACTGCATTAAAACAGCACAGCTCCACCAACCAGCATCCATTAATCAGTAGAGTAAATCTGGTGAACGTTACTGAACTCAGCAACCAAATGGGATTGATGGGGGCAGATGAGATTCTTGCAAACATTTCACATGACTGATTCTTTGACAGCTCTAATTGCTGGAAAGTTTACTTCTCCTGTGGGTCAGAAGTGGGAAACTGCATTCTCCTGATTAACAGCAATGGGAGGCTCACCAGTGTTTCCTTCCAACTTCCAATTGGAGTGTTCCCCTCTCGCATTTTTGTTTATTCCTCATTACCATCTCCTCCGTTCATTTGTTTCTCATTTTATGTTTACAGCCTACTTAGAAAAGAAGCCAAAATACAGACAATTCTTAGATGTTAATGAGATTCTGGGGCCAAAATAAAATCTGGGGAAGAAAGAAAAAATTCTGCACATCAGGGAACATAATCAAAACAAACCAAACACATGCTCTGGATTTCACTCTTCATTAAAAGGAGCAATAGCAATGCTTCTGTAATAATCTACCATAAGAGAACTGTAGTGAAAAGAGAACTTCATAAAAATCAGTGCTTTATTACTCACAATTCTAAAACATTGCCTAGTGGGTTTGCTGAAAAGTCAGGTGTGGAACCACTAATGAATACTGTAGCTTACCCTCTTCTTTCATTATTTTTTATTTAATTCTGGATAGTTCACTTAAAATCTGAATCCCACAGGCAAAAAAAGAAAAAAAAAAAAAAACAGGAAAAATTACCATGGAACTTGTGCAAGAGTTCATTATTTTTTATTACCACTGTTTGTTTGTTTTCAATATAAAATCAAAATAAGATAAAACAGAAGGAAATAGAAGGTTTGCATTCTTTATGTATGAATATGTAACACACTTCATAACTTTCAATGAAACACAACCAGGAGAGTTGTGATTGAAGGGGGGCCAAGACCTGCAGAGATTGTGTTTCCTTCCCTAGAGCTGATTTCACTGTGTCACAGTTCAGCTGCTCCACATGAAGATCAGCATATCAAGCCTGCAGGGCAGGATGAGCCTTCCCTGTGTCCCGGGTAGGTTGGCAGGAGAGGTTGGCAGGACAAGCTCACGAGTGGCAGGCAGGGCCAAAGCAGGAACCGGGTTATCAGGCACGATCACAGGGTCGAGGCAGGGCCAAGGTGAAACTGGGAAGTCAGTGCAGTGGCAGTCACCAGTCAGACACAGCCCAGGGATCCTGGGGCAGGTCTGTGGGAATGGAGCAGTGCCAAGGTTGATCTTGATCAAGGGAAGTGAGTCCAAGGGTGAGGGATCACTGAAACCCAGGTTGTGGCTGGGAAAAGACACATCTCTGAGGGAGCTCAGACAAGGATTGATGTACCAGAGCCGAGGTCAAGTGGAGACCCCGCACTATGAGCAAGGTGTAGGTGGAGGCCCCAGCAGAGGCTGCTCTGGGCCATAAGACACCTTGGTGCACTCAAGCCCTGAGAAGTCCTTACAGCTCTCAAGGCAAGTCATATTTGTTATATGAGCCAGAGTAGTGAAGAACTCTGTTCCCTCATGTTAATTACTCCTGAAAACGTCAGTGTTGAGTAAGTACCAACAGTGTAACCTACTGCATACAAAGAAAGGAACTGTGCATGTAAAAGCAATCATGATCCAGCTAAAAGACTAAGACTGTATTTCAAAATGTTTGTTCCTTTGGAAGGCTGCCATGGAAGTGTGAGACTGATCCAGCACCTACTGTGTGCATAGATGCACTCTGAAGGGAAACAGTTTAAATCTAGGTATCAGAAAATGCTTTGGCAATACATGAGGATATTTCTTTCTACAACACACCTTTTTCCTTTTCTTTTCTTAAGAAATCAAAGCAGCTCTCAATGGTTTTATATCATTTGAAAATCTGTCCCAGTCTTGGAACTGTGGCAGCAGTGAGCTTCTGAATCACAATTCTGAGTTTATTATTCAGAAAACAAAGGTTACATAATCTGTCTAAAATCCCTTCTGAAATGTGTTTTCTCAGAGTAGGTCAAATATTGCTAAGGAGTTTCATGAATGTATTGGAAACATAGATCTTCATTTTTATTTTTTGCAGTAGTGTAACATCAGGAGGATGACTGCTAAAAGTCTTTACTGCTTGTGGGAAATAATTAAGATGGTGAAGGTTAAAGTGTGGTACACAGCAAACCTACACAAATGGGAACTCAAGTTTTACTCAAACTCAATTGGTAGTTATTTAAAAATTTAACTAAGGCCAGCAGTGATGCTGAGACCTGAGTGAAAGGGCTCTCGAGGTCCAGGAGGATTCCTGCTGCCACTTTCCTGTGGTCTGTTGCCCCATTTGAGGGTAGTGAGTAGGGCTGACACTTTGGTGATGGGCAACTGGCACTGTTTCAGAGGATTTTTTGCTATACCCATGTCTTGTAGCTCTGACAAAAATCCAGGCTTCCACTTGCAGTTTTCCAGGTTTGCAGGAACTAGCCTTATTTTCCTGGACTGCTGTTCAGTTGTTTTCTGACAACTATCAGAGCCCTGAATGAGGAGGTTTTATTTTTAGTTTTTAATGGGTGTGGAAGGCTTCTGAAATTGAACTCATGAGGGAAGGACCTCAGAAAGAGGAAAAATGGCAGACTTCTTAAAACTCAGACAGAGGTTTCTGAGGAATTTGTGCCAATGAAAACAAGACTGTGAAACAAAATATCTTTAATAATAGGACCAGAATAAAATTGCAGCTTGTGAAAGTTTCTCATGTTTCACAATGTTAAGTTATGGAAGTTGTTGTGTATTAATGCAACAAATCAATGGCACCAAATTGAAAGTAGTGGGTGTGTCAGTTGTGAAAACCAAAGGGGAAGGATTCATTATCCAAGCTCTCCCTACTCCCTGCCTTGCACTTTGGAAATCCATGGCTTTCACATAGAAGATTTTTACTGAAAATAAGAAAAAAAAAAAAAAAGTGAAAAAACAAATACATAACATGAAACACCGAGGTTGAAGTTTGCTTTGTAAATTCTTAGAGGGTAGTTAATCTGTAGTACAATATTGCAGCAGAGGGGAGAAGAACCTTCCCACTTGATATTTCCTTTGTTATTTGATATATAAGTCTAGTTCATACAAAATCACTTAAAACGTAAGACTGTGGAGATTTTCAGGATGTCTTTATAGGCTAAACTTGTTCCCAGCTCTAGTTTGCAAAGCAGAGAAGCAAATTAGATTGTCAAATGAAAATCAGTTAGAAATAAGAAAAGTATTTACAGAATATATATCTAGTTCTCTGGGCCTAATATCATTGAATATACTTACCAAGGATGAAACATGAACAGCCACATTAATTCCTGCACAGTAGTTTGAGTGGTGGCCATCCTGTGGGGCTCAGCAAAGCCAGGTTACCTGAGAGAGGACTGTTTGAAATGGATGTAGTTTAATCTCAGTTTATATAAACAGGAAAGTGGCACGTTGACATCATTCTTGTATTTTCAAGATTTTGCCACTTTCTTTTGAAAAGGCCTCCTTAGCCATGAAATCTGATTTGCTGAGGAGGTAGGTCTGTTTTACATATCTGTGTGAGAGTGGAATATTTTCACAGAATCACCAATAAAAAAGGTTCAGTATGTTACTTATAGGCATCATTTAGACAAAGCTCAATTACTTGATGTTGCAGATGGAGGCAGAAACCTGAATTTCTATTTTTTTCCAAAATTGTACTTTGTTAAAAAATTTGCTTTAAAGAGTTGAATGATTTCTTTAGTTTTGTAGGCATTCCATATCAGTAAAGCTTTGCTGTTCTGTTTGAACATCTTGTGAAAGGAATCAGTTGGCTGATAGGAAAAACATTTTTGGATTCTGTGTCTGTGAAATAAATGTAACGTGACCACATGTTTCACACAAGTTAGCCAGTGTTCCTCAGTGAGTAAAGAGCAATTTACAGCCAACTCTACTATCTTGAGAGGATGAGTGACTGTATTGGTTCCCCTTGTTATAATAGTGGTGCTGTCATGGCATCTGCTGTTCTATACTTGAACTACTGGAAGTGAACCCTGACACTGTTACCAGTGGCAGCCAAATCAAGCTGTGGTTGCCTTTGTGTCTGATTATCAGCTTTTTGAGTTGTCATTATTTAATAAAGTTTAAAAAATGCTCCAATGCAGAGTTATATCCATCCATAAGGAATGTGGTGTTCATTGTGGAAGTTTTTCCTAATTTTGTGGTATGTTAAAAATCAAATCTGAAACAGCAATCAAATGCATCCTTTTCTGCCATATATTGCATATTTACTTGTGGTTTTCTTTGCATGTGTAATATAACTACTGTGTTTAAATTCTGTTATATACCTCTCTTTTAGTGAGCTACACATAGGTTTTTCTTTATATTAACGGTCTAGACATGAAAGGGAAGAGTAAGAAAGAGTTAAGCAACAGAAAAACAGGAATTTCTTACTTCCTTGGCATATTTCTGGTTTTTAAATGTCAGTAGTTTGATGCTGCCTAGAACAGTGGAATATCAGAGACTTTCCTGCTGCAGTAGATGAAAGAGCAAACTCTAAAGGCAAAAATGGAATATATCCTGTATGATTTATGGATGGCATGCATACTGTCTCTGAATATGTGACATAAGACTCTGCATATCACTATTTAGTAAGTGCTGTCAGAATTTAGCAGTGAAACTTTGAGAATGGTAAATATTAGTTACTGGAATGTCATAGCATTAAAAAGCAATATTTAATGTACCTAAGCTTCCATGGCCACCTCTTCTAAGACTAATTAACAGTTTACAATCGAAACAGGTTGGACAAAAACTACTGGTAGTTAACAGTTAATTGCTGAGGATTTACCTGAATCTTTTGGAACGACCTGTCAAAAGAATTTATATTTTTCTATTCTATTGTGCTGTCATATTTTGTCAACTTGTGGAACATCCAGGATGTACTGTACAGTCATTTTACTCCCAATGCCACAGCCCTCAGTCTTCCTTGCCCTTTCAAGCAGTGTGAGATCCACCTGGCTGACAGCTTGAGGTGGTCAGAGGAGAAACTCAGAGAACAAATCAAAGGCTGAAATAGGACTGCTGTCTGAAAAGCCCTTTATTGAAATTATCTGTTCTCAGAGCTATTAACTGGGATGCAAAAAGATTAATAAAATGAAAACTTAAAGAATTTACAGACAGGAAGAAGGAAGGAAAAGTGAGAAAGCTGTTACAAAGCTGTAAAACAAGAGATGTAGGAGAATTAGAGACCTTTTGGATTAAGGCAGGAGTGGACCAGCTGATGGGAATTTGAGGAGTTTCAAGGACTAAGTGTTTTGAGAACATGACAAGAACTGGACATCTGCAGAAACGAGAAAAAAAACACCTGCAGGCGTGAGGTTGAGCTGGACCTTCCAGGAGGCATGTAAATAGAGTGTTATAGTTAGATTTAGAAGAAGAATTTAGAAAAATAAGATATGTTGGCTAGCCAATAATAATGTAGCTTAATCGTGTGAACAGTGTGTGTTTTGTGTGTGTGACCAATGACAAGTTAAGTAGTCAAATATGTGGTAGTTATTGAATTGTATAAAAGTAAGTATAATTTCCAATAAAGATGAAGCTTCCAAAACATCATATTGGTGTGTGTGAAGTTTCCATTGAGGCTCACACAAAGCAACAAAGAGATTTCTTTCTTAACTAATCCTTTCATTTTTGACTGTAAAGACAGGCACTACATGTGTTTTCAAACGCATAAAACTCTGAGACAATTTCCTACAGCTGAATGACAAATAAAAAGAAGTGACTTTGCATAAACTAATTTACTTTCATGCCTATTGCTTCTCCTCACTTTGTTGTGCAGTGTGGAGGGCAAACCAGTGACCGTGTTGTGTGTTTTACCCCCCAGTGCTCTGCAGAATGTGGGGCCGGGATCCGCACGCGCTCCGTGGTCTGTATGACAAACCACATCAGCAGTTTGCCTCTGGAAGGCTGTGGCAACAACAGACCCTTGGAAACAACCCCCTGTAATAATGGACCCTGTGCTGGCAAAGTGGAGTGGTTCACTGGGGGCTGGACTCAGGTAAGCCAAGTGCTATGTCTGACATATCTGCTGGATTTCTACTGATATTTTAATTTAAAACTTGTATTTTTGTGCAATAAAGATGTGTGCCATAAGGTACTTCTACATCTCTGTGGAATATTTGGGTATTTTTCCTGTATTTTGCTGAGTTATGTTCAATAATTTTCAGCACCTGTTGTTGTTTTTTTTTTTTTATTTTGGTGAAAATAAGATTTTGTTATTCTCTGTACAAAGGCTCTACTTTAAAAGATGCAAATTCCTTACTTTAGTGTTCACCTGAATATGCTAAGCAGCACTGTGTTATCTTCCATTTTATAAATATACTGGGTCAGTAGATGAAAAATAAAAAGAAAACTACTGCTATGCTAATGCTTTCAAGTGTAAGTGATAATGGGTTTTTTTGTATGAGAATAACAAATTCAGATTTCAAAAATACTTATCTGCAGTTCTAATGGCAGATGAAATCAAGGCTTGTTAGTTAGACCACTCCAGCAGATTGAATGGTAGCTCTGGATCCATTTGTGCTTCCCCTGGAGAAGTGTTCAGCAAGGGCATCCAAATTTCCCTGGCCTTTTAAGCTAATTCACCTTCTTTTTTTGCACAAGATTGAATTGTTCAGTGCACACCAAAGGTACAGAGGCTTTACTGTGTGATCTGAAAGCAGTGTCTGACAACATTGAATCCTGGCTTCTAAATACGGGAATGAAAACAGTCAGTAGACCAGAGCAGGAGGGAGCACTGATGCTCTGCTAGAGCTGAGGCTGGATATTCATGTGCTGTCTTCTGGAGGAACCATTAAAAGAGAGCAGCACAGAGATGTTTGGTGTTCAAGAAAGCGCAGTTACTGTACTGCCTGTAGGATTTATTTGGGTGCATTTATCTTAAGGTTCTTGGTGCACCTCAAGGTTTTTATGGGACTCTGGTAAAGGGATTGTAAATTCCACCCAAAATATAAATAAAATCCCCACTGTGCTAACATATGATTGGTTTAGGCTAGAAAAAGTATCGCGGGTGGGGGTTTGTCCTGCGACAGACCCAGTGGCACATCTTGTATGGGAGACGAGACACACGAGTGTGACCCACAAAATGGCGTTTATTAAAACAATATGACAGTTTATATACAGGGGGATACAGAAGGTTCAGGAACAGAGGTGGGTTTCTTACTAGGGAACATCAAATCCTTCGAGCCAGTGATAAGTGAACTTGGAGGGATAGGCTGCATGGAATATGTCTGGTCACGCAGGGGGAAGGGAGAGCTTAGGGAGGAATGGAAGGAGTGGCCTGGGGGCACAGACAGGGTAATCTGCAGAGGCTGCAAGGCTGCAGCCTTGTAGCTGGGTCCCAAGCAGTTCTGCGCAGCTGCAGTTGCTAAAAGACTTCGAGAGAGATCTCTTCTTCTGAGCCTTCCTTGTAGCTCTTTTGCATCTCTCTCCATTCTCTGTAGGCCTCTTCTGGTCCACCCCCGACAAAAAAGCTTTCTGAAAATCATAGTCCTTTATGCAACACGGAAACTCATATGTTGCTGGAATCATCTTCTAAAAACCTTTTTACAAGTGCCAGGAGCAGTACTGTGTGTGTACCTAACCTTTAAATGGACAGTAAGAATCCAAGTGAGTCAGATTTGCTTTTCAGAACTGGAACCAACACTGCATCACACAGATACTTGCAAATATGAAAATAACACCCTGGCTAATCAAGGCCCTTCCTAAGAACTACACAGAATGTGGAGCTTTGTAAAGCTCCAAAACTGTGCTCTGACCTTATAACCTTCAAAAGTTCAGTGCAGTACATACAATCCTGCTTCAGCAAGAAGTGGTTTATGGAGAAAGTGAGTTATACTTCTCTTTTGATTAGAAAAATAAATACCAGTTTCTTTTTTGTAGCTACAGGTGGAATGACACTTTCAGATTTCTCCAGAAGTATACTTGGAGTCCTACATCTTATTCATTAAAATAATTAGAAATATGTTTTGAGTCTGTGGTACCACATGGAATAAACATTCACAGAAGTATCTGTTTAATGTCTGTAGCCATTTTTAAGATCAAAAATGAAAAAAAAAATATGTAATACCTGACACAGTCAGTAGTCACTTGATGAATTAAATCATAACTATATCCTTCAGCTTTTTCTTGTACTGGTACTTAACTGGGACCAGTGGCTACTTTATTAGTACTGCATGCAAATAATAATAGTAACCCAAGGTTTATCTAGGCTCCTATTCTGATTCTGAGGGATAAAAATCTGATTCCAGGATCTTAAGGAGTGTTTTACCCTTTTCCTTTCTCTTCAAATCATGTGCCCAGTGATGGAAGGAAAGATATAATTAAGCTCGTTTTTTCTGAGAAAAAAACATATGAAAGTGAGAAAATGGATTTTGGATGTCAGTGTCTAGATAAGTGTCCAAATCTTTCTGTTTGAATATTAATTTAAATTGCAAGTATACATGTGTGTAAGGGGATGTACTGTTTTATTTCAGGAACAAACACGTGGAGAAACGTTACTTTGTAAGCAAGTTGAAGGACATAAGTAGAATAACAAATTCTCCCGCCTTTCTTTTTTTTCTTTGTTTTCTGATACAGTGCTCTTCTGAATGTGGCAGTGGAACTCAACAGAGAGAAGTCATTTGTGTTAAGAAAACTGAAGGTAATTTTGATGTTTTGGACCCCTATGAATGTTCATATTTGGAAAAACCTCCCATCCAGCAATCCTGCTACCTCAAACCATGTGGATCTAAGTGGTTTCATACAGAATGGAGCACAGTAAGTCTCTCATGCTCTATATTTTGTTTGATACAGCTTTTTCCATTAATATTGAAAGAGAGCACCATTTGGATAAAGCCACTGATCGTGATATTGACTTTATTTTGCACAGGAATGATATTAAAAAGAAAGTAAACCCTTCACCTAGTTGAGCTTAGGAAAGTTAGGAAATATCCTAACTAGGAGACACTGCATACTTGTCTTTCATCACTCATCTTTTCTTCAAAGAATCTTCCTGTGTTATAAAGTTGGTTTGCCCCTTTTAATGAGACAATGTGCACTAAGAAGTTCCTTTCAGAACTCTGATTTCATATAAATTAAGGAGCATTTAATAAAGAATTAGGGGTCTATTTGGTTTTTAAAGTCAGTTTTACCATAATATTTTACTGTAAATTCTTCACTGTAATACTTAGAACTTTACTGAGAGAAAATGTAGAACTCAATGTATCTTCAATTTCCCCTGAAAGTGGACCAGCTGCATTGCCCAGTGTGACACAAAATGCTTTGGTTTCATCTGTTTTTCCATGATTTCCTATACTAAATAAAGCTTATTGGATTTTTACCAGAAAAAATCAGCATTTTTCTCCTAAATGAAAACCAGGAAGTTCATTGTCATCTTAGAATGAGATTCTCATGCAGTAACTTAGACCCTTCTCTGAGCCTTAAATCAAATTCCCAATGACAACTCTGAAATGTGGATGCAACTCACGCCTTTAGTTTGAGTTCCCTTGGTCAGGAAACTTTGGAAATATCTCATCCACATAACATGAGAGAGAAATTATTTTGATTTTTCTTTTTACTAAATACTCAATTATTTGACTGGCCTGCTGGCAGCACTAGAAAGAAGAAAATAAAATAGAATATTTTTAACAAAATAGATCAGTTGAAGGGAATCCTATTTTTTCTCCTTTAATTGCAGGTATAGGTGCTTATTTGACAGCAACATCCAAGTCAAGTTCATAATAAAACCATGTAGATCAAAGTAGGTTCTTTGGTGGAAATTCTTTGGATTGTTAATTGAACTGTTTAGATTAAATAACTTCCCCTTAGCAAACCCATTTTCAATTGTGAACCTGTGGGTGTGCAGCCACAAGAGATACAACCGTCTGCTTCCACAGAATGCAGCAGATAGAGTCCCTCTGCAAGTAAGAATATGTGCTTTCTGGCAGGCACAAGGAACAAGGTGCTGACTTACTCAGGGTCTGATAGGTATTTAGAGATCCCTAGTTACTGTTCTAAGTGCTACTTCCTAAGAAATAGCATCTAGAAACCCTTAAAGGTCTAAACCTTTGTGACCGTCTTCACTGTAGGAAGAAATACATCTGCTAGCAGAGGTTTTACAAAATCATGCTGTGCTTCAGTTCTCCTTCTGAGCAACCTGTTCTAGTTGAAGACGTCCCTGCTCACTGCAGGGGGACTGGAGTAGGTGGCCTTCAAAGGTCTATGATTCTGTTCTATTTTGTTATAGTTATCAACAGGGTATGTGGCATTTCTTACTGTTAGACCTGAAGAGAAAGGATTATTGGTTAGCTGTGAGCAGAAGAGCTGGCCCAAAGCCCCTGTACGAGGTTTGGAAACTGTCAGGTTCATCTCTTCAGACCTTTTGTGTGACCTAAAATAAATGGCATGGCCTCTCAGTCAGGAGGATTAAATGGCTGCGTTTGTGTGCAGTCTGCTGGGTGTCTTGGTTCCACTTTAAGTGCTTAAGATCTCTACAGACCTGAATTGAAGCTCTTATTGCTGCATGTGGAATTTGCAGTATTCTATACAGGCATGTAACAAGAGTAATGCTAGAAAAAAAGGTGTTCTGTTACTGCCACAGAGCTACCCCTTCCAGAGTGGGGAAAGGTTGTACTTAAAGATGAAAGAGCAGTTTAATAATATAATACTGAGAATACTTTGGTTAGTTTGCTACAGCATCTGATTTTGTGATTGGGATAAGTTGTTTCTGCAATGTTAGGGAAAGAAATAATTAGGCCAATGTTGGGGTTTTATTCAGCCACTGCCTCTCCGGGCAGTCCTTGCCCGCATTCTCCACCAAAAATGTCGTGGTTTTGTTCTGGGTCAGTTTGCTTTTACACTTCCCACACAATTATTAATCAGTTGAGAGAAGGTTTATGTAGACAAAAGAGACTGGATTGGAGAAAAAAGTATGAGTATTTATTACTAGTACAATAAAAACTATTAAAGAACTATATTTATAATAATCTTACTTAAGTAAAAGGTGCCATGTATTTACAGAAAATACTCTTCCCCTCCCCCTTTTTATATTAGTCCAAGGAGGAGAAGTAGTTTCCGTCTCCATTCTCGGAGTTCCAGCTCTCTCTCCAGTAACTCTGCAGCGCCCTCATCTCAGCTGGAACTCTTCCTCCTTCTCTGTGTCGACCTCCAGGGCTGGGCCTACCCCCCTCCTGGGCTAAGACCGAAGGCTGGGGGTTACCCAGGTCCTGAAGGGTTTTCTCTTCCATGGACTTGCGAGGGGACACTTGCCTACCATGGATCTTTTTTCACAGGGTTACAGGGCTTAAGAGTCCACCCCTGTTCCCTATGGAGGTCCCTCCCCATGGGCGAACAGTCTTTGATAGACTTCTCCAGCATGGTCTAGCATGGATTCTTTACTTGAATCCCCACATCTTACCCGGGCCGTTCTTGCTCCGGCATAAGTTTCTTTTTCAAGGTTACAAATCTTTAGTAGCAGCATGGATTCCACATATAGATTCCAACATTCCATCTGGGCCATCTCGCTCCAGCGTGAGCCTTATCAGGTCTCTCATAAAGTCTTGGCTTCTTCATGCATCAACTTACTTCAGTATAGGCTCTTCCACAAGCAGCAGGGGGTCTTTTCACCCCAACAAACTTCTACAAGGTAGCAGGGATTATTTTTTAGTCTTTACCCTGCTGAAGGGGGAGAGAGCAAAAGGGGGGAAGAAGCAAGCCCCCCCCCTTCACACTTTACTTTTCTTGCTGCAGCTTCAGTTGCCATCTTTGACCTTGGAGGCTCCGTTATCTCTTGCTGGAATTCTTCCACAGCAGTTTTTTGTCTAAGCAATTAGTCTTTCTCTAAAGTTTTTTTTTTCTTCACTTTCTTACAAAAGAAAAGGGGGGCTTCAGTGCTACACTTACCCCCTGGCCCAAGCTGGGGGAGGAGGGGGCCTTGCCCCCACCTGGGGCTTGCCGCCTCTCTCCTACATGGCTGCCTAATTTCAACTGCGCAACAAACCTTCTCTTCCGTTTTCTTAAAGATGTAATTAGCAAAGGCATTACTGAGACTTTTAATTGGCTTCTTGTCCGGAACTTCACCTGGATGAAACCATTCTCAGACCTAGGGGCTGGCCGACTGGGCAAAACCACAACAGCCAAAAAAGTCAGAAAGAAAACATTCTTATTAGTTCGGGGCTATTAAGGTTTAATCACTATAAATTGCCCAGGTTTAATTAAGTTTGTGAGCATTATGTCAAACTGACAGTGAACCAATGTCATAGACCTCAGGCAAAATTCTTGAAGTCAACACGCAATTTGCTTCAGTATGGGCAGAAATGTGTAATAATTGGCTTTAAAAACACGATGACAAGCAAGTACAAAAGTCTCTGGATTCGTAACAGACTTCGAAGGAGCACAGAAATACTGTCTTTTGATGTCCAGAGAAACCTATAATGCTTAGTAAAATTGTTCTGCAAGAGGTAAAAAGTACTTGAGTGCCAGAAAAAAAGGCAATTAAAATTATTCCTGCTTGTATATTATTAAATGGCAAAAGGGCAGTGGAGGGCAGGTTCAATCAAGTAGTAAAGTTCAGTGCAGGGAGTCCTTAAAGTAGGAAAAGGGAACATTGTGGAAAGAGTATATTTGGGAGTTATGTATAAATAAACAGAGAACAAGAAGACTAATTAAAGAAGCAAGAAGCTAACTAATAAATTCAGAAAGGGAACTAGCATGCTGTCAGTTGCAGCATCCACCACGTTTACTTGTCCAGTTGTTCCTCCTATGGTCAAACATATTTTGGAATATTTAAGAAAATTGCCCCTGTATATTATGGGCTTCATAGATAGCAAATAAAAACCTGTAGTGGTGAAGTTGATAAAAAGGCTATTCCTGGGTCTGGCCTCAAGGTTCCCTTTTCTTTTCTTACTGTATTTACACATCTCATATTGTCTTCATGAACTTCAGCTTAATTGTTTCAGTGTTCCAAATCCTGTGAAGGAGGATTTCGGGTCCGGGAGGTGCGCTGTCTCTCAGATGACATGGCAGCCAGTTCTCAGTGTGATCCACAGCTGAAACCTGAAGAGAAAGAATCATGTAACACACAAGATTGTGTCCCTGAAATAGGTAAGGAAGAGGAAACTTCTGCTTTAACTGTGGATCTCCATCTAGTGGGGAAAATATTTAATAGTTTTGAAAAGGTTTTAACAGTGTATTTTCTTTATCGAGTTCTGAGTTTTATTTTTACACAAAATACAGCTTTTTTTCTGTGCTATAAAAGTAGGTTTTCATTTCTGATTTAAAATGTTTTCCTAGTAATGTGTAAGAAACTGGCTTACTTTTGAAGTTGCTGAGAATGTGAGAGATCTGCTTCTGTGAAAATGGTACATACAGGGTGTTTTTGTGCTGTCTCCTTGCATTCTCCAAAGTTTCTCTTGGCAGAGTCTTTAAAACAAAAAGAGGAACATGTATGATATGTATTTGGTAGCAGAACCAACAATATTAAACTAAGACACTAAGTACAATTAAGCGGTTTTCTTTTATATATTTATACTAAATGTACACATACAGACAATTTGGCTTTGGAATTAGCCATTCAGCTCCCACAGATTTGATTTTAATAGCAATGAGAATGACAAAGGAAAGGAAGATACATAATTTAGAAACATTTTTAACGTTCTACAAGTTTCAGTTCAGAATTATTCAACATACTTTAAGACAACTACATAGAAAACCTGGGGAAATGGGGATGGGTACATTTCTTCCATGGTTTATCTATTTTTCTATTATAATGTATAAAATCTTCAATAATCTAACTTGTTTGCAAAGGTAGCTTTTTTTGACCTGGGAATTAATGTTTAAATAGAGATCCAAGGGATTTTAGATGGTAAAAGAGAGGAGATTGGTTATTTGTCGCTCCGTTACTGCTTTCTTCAGTTCTTTGTCTCTTCCTTTTCCTCCACAGATGAGAACTGCAAAGATAAATACTACAACTGCAATGTGGTCGTTCAGGCCAGGCTCTGTGTCTACACCTACTACAAAACAGCCTGTTGTGCATCCTGCACACGTGTGGCGAACAGACAGTCGGAGTTCCTGGGCCAGAGATAAGAAATACTCTCTGCTCAAAGCAGCGGTGTCAGTCTGCAGATGGAGCTTGAACAGTGTTACTGCTTCGACTGCAGCAGTTTGAGCTTCTTAGAGATGGGGGTTTGTATTTGCTGAGTGCAGCAAGACCATGGTTAAATCTCACACCCTTTCAGTTATTGTGCAGTTATCTCTTTTAAGATGTTTGTTGTAAAAACCATGATCTTTTTAAAGCATTAGTTGCTAATGATACTATTATTTGCACCTGCTCATCAGATAATTATTTAAGGAACATACCAGCCTTAATATTGTGAAATAATGAAAACTGAAACTATTGCAGGCACTTACTGGAGATAGTTGACCAGTATGGATGCAGCTGCTGCATTATTTTCTGAGTGCTTACTTTTACTTGGTATTTTGGACTGCCTTAAATTAGATGACTAAATCAATGAAACATGCACATGAGAAAAATTATTTCCCAAAGAACCAGACCTTTAAGGACCCATTTGTCATCAGTTTCTTAGCACTCTAACATATATTTTTAATTACTTCAGTCCATTCATAATTAGAGTCACTGTTAAGCTCTCAGTTGTACTTTTAACTAACGTCCTGTCCTCAGGCAGTAAATATATACACACAACTGCCAAAAAGTGCCTTTATATTTAATTCATAAACTCTTGAAGATACACTTTTCTAATTTTGTATGGATTTTAAAATAATTACCTACCAGAGTGACTCTAGTGCCTAGCCCTTCAAGTCTGTAACAACTCCATCTGTCAGTGAGACAGATTCACCAGAGAGGTGAAGAGCCTTTGCTGATGTAAAAGTGATTCTTTCCCTTGGCGAGGTTTCTGTCCTGTACAACAGTTATTTCAGTGAACTGGGATCTTGCCTGATTCTTTGTCTCTGCACTATGGCTTAACAAGTACCATACCAAAGGACTTTGTCCAGACCTAGTCTGGATATGTCACCAGTTTCTGAAACAACCACCAAAGGATGCAGGCCTGTGTGCTTTGTAGTCGTGTGTTACTCGTGGTATCAGGCAGCAGTGTGAGTGTAGTACCTGAGTATCTGTCAAAAGGAGATCTTGGCTATTGACATTCATCAGGTTTTGATCAGTTGTTACAACATACTTGTCCTTTTTCACTCAGTGTTTCATCACACAGATCTATTCATACCACTTCTTTTCTATTACTCAAGAATGGTTAAAGACATGGAGCTGAATTTAAGTGGTGATTTTTCATTTCTGCAATTACTGTACTCAGCCTTGGGACTTGCTAAAAGCAAATAGGGTATGCTATGCAGTGCAGATCAGTTTTTGCATTATCTGCATGTTCTCTAGGCTTTGCTTGAGAGGTCTTTCAAATGTGTAAATAAGGCTGAAGGAAAAAAATGAACACCACTGCTTATTCAGCTGTTTATTACAGCATATTTTTTATAAACTAGTGATGTTCAACTATGCATCTGTTTCTAAGGTGCCTGATGTCTGAGTTGAAAAACAGCTGTGATAATCATGTAAAGTCACTCCCAGAGATGTGATATAACAGAGGTTAAGGTGTCCTGCTAACTAATGCAGAACCATGTTTGAGCCTCACTGGGTGTTCTTTTCTTCCTAATGCTTTGGTGGAGAGGATGTGGAAAGGGAATGGAGCTCGGAGGCAAAGGTTGCTGGGTGTGGTACTGGTCACGTCAGGTTTTGTGCTGGAAGCCACAGGAATTCCTGTAGTCTGAAAGCTGCCTTGAACTGAGACAAACCTTTGAAGTTTTTGATTTGGTCACTCATGAAAAATATATTTTAACTATGATGAGCTACCACTGTTTGGCTAAAGGAAATTAAAGGAAAAAGTATTTACCTAGAAGCTAAAGTCAGTCTTTGTGACTATGAACCATTCAAGGCTTTGGCTGTTTCTATACACCTTGACTTGGGCTTTTTTACTGTAAATAATATAAAATTGTTAGAAATAGAAATGCTAATTAGAAAACTTGTGAGTTCATGAATCTTTTACAGTCCTGTTCCCTTGTATTATGAAGATTTATCCATGAAGATAACTTAAAGATTTGTGATGATTATATTCCTTAGATTCTTGACCAAAGAATGTTATGGAGAAAGTGCAGTGTAAACAACTCTGGAATCCAGTATTTCTAAATACAGATTTTCATCTGTGTATCTCATTGCAGCAAATTTTTACATACAATTTTTGTTGTTGTCTCTTTTGTCCCAAGGAAGTGTATCCTGTCAGCTTGAGGGAGATACTTGTTACATAAAAAGGCTTCCTGAAAACCCCAAGGCAGATGAGATGCAGGGAGCTAATCAGGTTTGCAATCAATCCATGGAAAATTATCTCACACACACTTCTGGCTGTGACAGAGTTAGTGACTCAGCACACAGACATGAGATCCTCCTATTTTATAAAATATGTTATTTTACTCTGGAATATGTGGCCATTAAGTTATTTGACAAAGAGGATCATCTTGTAGGCTCTGTTAAGCTGCCACTAAAGTAAACAGAGTTCTTGGCAACTAAATATCAAAGAATGTGTACTTACACATAGCAGTGTAACCCTGTAATACACCTATTATGTACAACTTTGTGAATTAAATGCAGTGAGCTATGATTTTACAAACTGTACATTTTTTGTTTTTTTAATTAAAGAGGCAGTTTTCAGATGTACCAGATACAACAAAAAATACCATTTCATCTAATTAAACATCTAATGGTAAGAAAACTGCCAGAATGCTACTGAATTTAATCATTTATCATCTCGTGCGTCAGCATTACCAAAGTAGTTGTTCCTGCCAAATGAACTAATAAGCCCTTTTTATCAGCACTTTGATATACTAATATTGTCTGCACAAAGTGCTGTGCTAAGATTCCACCATGTTGCAAAGCACACTTTGGAATTGTGCCTGTAGCAAGTGTTTTAATGGAGCAGTGCCTTTAAGGCATTTAGAATGATGCCTGCAGAAGGACCTGATTTTACTTTTGCTGTAAGTCGTAGATGGCCTTATTGAATATAGTAGACTTAGAGCAGATATAAACCCAATATAATTAAGAAATAATGCAGACTTCTGATTTTAAATGATTCAGTTTCTTCTTCTGACATTTTAACATCAGTCAAAATCCTGCACAATGGTGTAAAAAAATATGCTTCCTGGGCTTGAAGATTTTCACCTTACACAATGAAGGAAGACCAGAGTAAGTTAGATGGTTTATTTAAAGAGTCTAAGCAGTCCACCTGCACAGAGCTTTCATGACTTACAGATGTACAGCTGGCCAAAATTAGCCCCATCCAGAGGAGGCTCTGTGTTTCAAAGCACTTTCCCTTTGGAATTGAGGACTCCTGGTGCACTTGTTTATCTAGTTATCCAGGGCCCATCAGGGTTTGCCAGCTCCTGTGCGCATACGTAGGTAGAATTCCTTGTGTACTGCAATTGCATGCCAAGTTCGAGAGCACTGAATTCATGGACTTCTCCCTTCCTCTCCCAGAAGATGCTGTGGAAGTATGAGGGATGCTCCTGTGGGAATGGCCAGCAATGAGACAGAGTTAGTGTTTGCTTTGGTGACTCTGACCTTCAGTCTCCAGGGCTCTGAGTCAGGGAAGGGCTAGTTAGGAGCAGTGGAGAGCTTGGAGTGCAGTGCAGGAGATATGGGGGATCCTGCAGGCCTGTCAGCTTTGGAGTGCAACTGTAATGTGTGCCATGGACTGGATGCAGGACTGCTTCAGTTTCCCTTCACAGGGAACTGGCATCTTTGTCATTATACTCATAATCTTCTCTTTTTTTCCCAATACTTCAGCAAATGGAGAATTTTCTATATGAATAAGGCAGTGTTTAGCATTAATATTATTGGTTAGATCCCAGTTTTATGACAATATGATGCAGTTATATATCAGTCATATATATATGTGTGTGTGTATATATATATATGTCATTATAGCCCTGACTCAAAGGAGTACATTAAACTGGTTGAACAGAAGACCACATGGGGCAGCAGCTTTTCGAGGACCTTGCTACTTCCTTTGCTTATGTCTGAGTCCCAGAGAGTGCCAGTCACCACTGAGGGAGGAAAGAGGCAGGGGCTCAAACAGCTTATGGCTGGTATAGGGGAGGTTACGTCTTCCTGAAGAAAATAGTTTGTTTTCTCTCTTTATAATCTATACCACTGTAAGTAGTAAAATATACTTTACAGAGCTTTGCTTTTCCCCATTCTTATCCTGACCTGTCCCCCTTTTACAGCCACACCCCCAACTCTTCTCCTCTTCCTCTTATCTCACTTTCATCCTTTTGTCCTTTGGGTTACAATATTAAATTTTGCCAGAATTACTGAAAATCCTGGCCTTTTGGTTTGTAAGAATCAGTGTTAGAAATTAGCCCAGCTCTTAAGAGATCTATATTCTTGCGAGCCCAGGGATTTTTCTGTCTGTGTGCATCCATGTTGGCTAGTTTTTAATGGGTAGCAGTAAAGTACATACTGAATTAACCCCCATGCAATGAACCTGTGACTGCACAGCCATTGAAGTATGTATTGACCATTTATTCTCATATGTAACATTTATCACATAAAAAAAAGGATTATCCTCTTCACAAAGGAAAAGCTGTGTGTTTACTTGGTCTTCTTGAGACTTAGTGTCTTTGACTTCTTAAGAGCTGTTCTGTGTGTTGGGCAGATAATATATGTGCACGCCTGTAATTCGAACACAAAGCATGAAATTTTGAACATGAATGTAAACTTCCTTTATGTCTAAACTTAGAGAATGCTTGTGGGAGATAAATTAGGCATTGCTTAGAAAATGAAGTAAAATAATTATTTTCACACCAGAAATGAAAAATCATCCACTAAGGATTTTCAATATATTTTAAATTAAACTTCTGATTGTCGTGGTTTTGTCCTGGCTCAATTTACTTTTATACCTCCCATACAATTACTATCAGTTGAGAGAAGGTTTATGCAGACAAAAAGAGACTGAATTGAAAAAAAATATGAGTATTTATTATTAATAAGCTAAAACTAAAGAATTATATTTACAACAATTCTACTTAAGTAAAAGGTATTATGTATTTACAGAAGATACTTCTCCCCCCACCTCCCTTTATATTAGTTCAAGGAGGAGAAGCAGTCCTTTTCTGTTCTCGGAATTCCAGCTCTCTCTCTCTCTCCAGTAACTCTGCAGCACTTTCGTCGCAGCTGGAACTTTTTTATCTCTCTTTCATTCTGTGTTGACCTCCAGGGCTGGGTCTACCCCCCTCCTGGGCTAAACCCAGGTCCTGAAGGGTTTCCTTCCATAGGCTTGCAAGGGGACACTTGCTTACTATGGATCTTCTTCCACAGGGTTACAGGGGATAATGGTTTAAGAGTTCACCCCTGTTTCCCTGTGGAGGTCCCTCCCCATGGGAGAACAGTCCTTGACTGACTTCTCAGCATGGGTCTAGTCTGGATCCCTTACTCGGATCCCAATATCCCACCTGAGCTGTTTTCTGCTCCAGCGTAGGTTCTCTCATTCCCCTCAGGGTCATAAATCTTCAACATCCCTACCCGAGCCGTTTTTCTGCTCCAGTGTAGGTTCTCTCAGGGTCACAAATCTCTAGCACCAGCAGCATGGATCCCACACATGGATCCCAACATCCCTACCCGAACCGTTTCTCTGTTCCAGCGTAGGTCATCATCCCCCTCAGGGTTATAAATCTTAAACAGCAGCAGCATGGATCTCTTACGGAGATCCCAAGCTTATCTGAGCCGTCTCGCTCCAGCATAAGCATCGTCCCCTTCAAGGGTTACAAAGTCTTTAACAGGACTCTGCCTCATCCGAGCCGCTTCTGCTCCAGCATAAGGCTTTTCTCTTTCTGTTAAAGTCACAAATCTCTGGTGCATCCACAAGCTCCTCTGTGAGCCGCACGGGGGTCTTTTCACCCCAACAAACTTTCACAAGTGGCAGGGTTTTATTTTTCAGTCTTTACCCTGCTGAAGGGAGGGAGAGCGAAAAGGAGAAAAAGCAGCTCTCCCCCCTTCGAACTTTTCTTCTCTCTCCTGTTGCAGCTTCAGCTGCCAGCTTTGACCTTGGAAGTCCTGTTATCTCATGGCTGGAATTCTTCTGCAGCGGTTTCTCGTCTAAGCAGTTCGTCTTTTAAACCTTTTTTTCTTCACTCTCTCACAAGAGAGAAGGGAGGCTTCAGTGCCGCACCTGCCCCCCCACCCCGGCCCAGGACCGGGGGAGGAGGAGACCTTGGCCCACTTCAGGGCCCACTGCCGCCTTTCCTACATGGCTGCTGAATTTCAACTGCGCAACCAACTTTCTCTTCCGTTTTCTTAAAGATGTAATTAGCAAAGGCGTCACTGAACTTTTTGATTGGTTTTTTTGTCCGGAAATCACCTGGACAAAACCATCCTCAGCCCCAGGGATGGGCTGGTGGGCAAAACCACGACACTGATCATTATAATACCTCAACAGTGCAGGTAAAATTCAGACCTGGTGAAAGGGAGAAAATTCCATTTAAGAGAACTCACAGCAGGCTTGAACTCAGCTCTTTACCTCTCAGCTTTCAACAGCCAGAAGTTCTTAAGAATGAGAGATCCCAATTTTTCGGAAGCCTAATTTTGATAAATCATTGACCTTCCAGCAACAGTCATTACCACTTGCCCTGACCTGTTTTTCTATGCTGCCTTTGGGTCTCTTGAGACCAGTGGCCTTGGCAGGGGTTGGGTGCATACAAGTTGTGAAGTCCCATCGTAGTCACTTAGGATCTACATAGAAAATGAGGAAGGAAGGGAGACAAAAGAAACCCTAACTTTTTTGTGTGTGTATAAACTTGTCTACTTGACCCTCATAACTGATTTTGGGCAGAAGGATATACTTTATTATAACTTATTTTGTCATTATTTGTAAATACAAGATGTCTATGGGAAATATGTAATTCTGAGCTGTGTCTATGGAACAAGCCACTGCACCAAAAAAAATTCAAATATTTAGAATAGGCAGATTTTTTTATTAAAAGGGACCCAATATGTATTTATTTACATATACCATTCAAATTTTGTCCAGCTTTTTCATTATACTAATCCAGCTTTCTAGGGAATTTTATATCACAGGTATTACATATATATTTTTTGTATATATGTCATACTGTAAATCCATAATACAATTTTCTAAACTTTCTGATTAACCAGTTCCTTGAGTGAATTAAAGGAGATAGGCAAATTGCTTTCTGACTCGTTCAGGAATATGTATCTGTGGCAATGTACCTGAACCAGAACTGTACAGCATCCTTTTCATATTGTATACTTTTTCTCTTTGATGAAAAAACGTTAACTATTTTTGTTTATGACTAATTTATTTTTATTATTGTGAAAAATAAAGTAACTCAAGATGAATTTATGTGGCATGTTTTATTTCTTACCTGGTTGATCTGAGTTTCTTGGGAATTAAGTGCGAGCATCAACAAGGGTACAGCACACTAACGGAATCCTTACACAAGTTAGGAGCGGACACAATATAACCAAGTTGCAGAAAGTTGTATAACCTGTGTGACAGGCTGAGAAGTGATAGCAACACCCTGAGAGACTGCCCCAAGATGTGTGTGTATTGCACAAGTGAGAACCGTGTCCTGGGTGTTGCGGGAATGTGCCTGTCCAAGCTGGATCTTCTGCTGGAGCTGATGGTCACAATGATTCCTCCCCACTCTGGCAAAACCAGCGCAGCCCTACAGACAGATCTTTGCAGATTTCATTGTGATTTCACTGTAAATAAGTGAAGTCATAGAATCACAGAATCGTTAAGGTTTGAAAAGACCTCTGAGATCAACAAGTCCAACCTTTGACCAAACACCACCACATCAACCAGACCACAGCATCAAGCGCCACGTCCAGTCCTTGAATTCCTGAGGGAGAAGACTCACACTGGGACCTTTCTGGAGGTGACCTGATGTTAAGCATCCTTGCTGTTACGAGCAGTTCTGCTTAGTTCATGAGGATCAGGAGTTCCAGGTGTTCTCAGTTCACACTGACCAGGCACTGTGAGGGGTTCATGCACAGGCACTGCCTGAGGCATGGTACCTTCCTGCCCACTGGGTGTGAGGGGACCCAGGTGCTGAGAGGAGACCAGCCTGGGTGTGAGGGGACTGGCCCAGGTGTGAGGGGACTGGCCAGGGTGTGAGGGGACTGGTCTGCCTGCACCCTGCGCAGTGCAGATGTGCCCGGGCGGAGTGCGGGTCACGGTGCTAAGGAAAGTAAGATTTAAGTAAAGTTGTATTTAGACCATTAATTCAATTTCAACTGTCAGGAGAAAAGCAGGTCATTTAACTCCACTAGTTCTAAAAAAGAAGGATTTTTTTTTCCTTACCAGAGATGGCACAGTTGGAGGGATGGGCCAGTAAAGACTGGATGGTGGTAATGTTTCTCACCAAAATCAAATTACTGTTCAGTAGAGCTTTTCCTCTCAGGAGTTTTTCGATATGTTACTTATGAAAGAGGGTGGGAAATGCTATACTACAACCTTTATTATTATTACTCATCTATTTTGCTAGAAATCTGTGTATATTTTAGATATATATGTTTTTATATATATAAAAACTTGATTAGGGATATGGAACAACTGTAAGTTAAATCATATACAGTGAGTAGAGATGAACTGTCACCAGTGCTTCCAGTCGGTGGCTTCCTCTACAGAATGCGTACCAAGAGGTGCTTTTGGTCTTCAGAAAGCTGAAGGAAAGTTCTCTGTAGTTTCTTTCTCTGAACTATGAAGGCTGTTGATACTGGAACATTGTGTGTTATCTTCAACCATGTGACTTCCACAGTTGAAATGCCTGAGAGAATTTTGACTGCAGTCTTGAGATCCAAAGCAGAGAGCTTAGTATAGAGTTGAAGCAATTACCGAGTGGAGGAGATGAAATAAATACATCTAAATGTCTGTGCCACTTCAGGCACTGTAAATAATTTCTGTTGAATTTTGTTGAATTTCTGTAAATAATATTCTGTTGAATAATTTCTGTTTGTTCTCTGTTACTCATTTTTTGTTTATATTGAAATGAAAAGGAATATTTGAAGAAGAAAGACTCTAACTTTCAGAAGAGGTACAATCCAGTAGGGTACATCAGGAACCAAAAGTAAATTTGGTTTAATATTAAAATAACATATACTTCCTTCCTACTTATTCATTGTGTAGTTTTGAGTAAGGCATAGAAAAGTAAATATTAAAGTGCACATATTATGAAACTAACATAATGCACCTGTACTGAAATTGGAATTATTTGGACATATGCATGCAAATGGTGTAATGATGAAGAAAATTGCATTGAGTGCTTTTAATTGGTGTCCAGCAACTGTAAAACCATTAGTCAGTTTGTGCCAGACCAACTGTGCTGTGGTTTAACCCCAGCTGGAAACTAAGCCCTGCACAGCCATTCACTCACAATCTTGCCAGTGGGATCGGGGAGAGAGAGGAATAAAAAAGAGAAAACTCATGAGTTGAGATAAAGACAGATTAATAAGTGAAGCAAAAACCATGTGTGCAAGTAAAGCAATTGGAATTCATTCACCACTTCCCACAGGCAAGGCAGACAAGTGTTCTGCCATCCTCAGGGATGACCCAGTAGTGTCCCCTCCCAGTTTCTTGTGCCTCCCACCTCCTCACTGGGGGTGCTGTGAGGGGCAGAAAAAGCCTTGACTCTGTGTAAGCACTGCTCAGCAGTGATGAAAATATCCCTGTGTCATCAATGCACAGTATTGCAAGAGAATATAAAAACTGAATTAAAAGTGTGTTGCCCTGGGAAATTCACTAAACTGTGTTTTCTCTCCCTTAGAACATGACTCAACTTTGCATAGGCCTTGGAAGGGATGGAGCTTATGACTTCAGAGCAAAATAGAAAGAAACATGCCAGTGGAACAAATGTTACTGGATCTAAAGGCACTGCTTTGGGGCAACTCTAAGGTATCCTCAGTTGTTTTTTCTTAAGGATTGTTCGCTTTACTGTATCTCCAGAAGTTTAAAGTTTTGCAGGTCTTTGCATACAGTTTGTGACATAATTATCACTGCTACTCTCAGCAACTCATTGAAATTGCTGCTGCTGGTTCTAATTCACAGTCAGGTGGTATCAGACTGCAGAAGGTATTTCAAATAGGGCAGAAGGCCTACTTAGTTAAAATAAAGTAACAGGTAATACAAAAAAGAAGCAGCGCGTTACTATTTCTCCAAGAAGCATTTAACATGCTCCTCCTACTGTGTGCTAATTTATTTTTGCAACATCAACACACACTGTATTTCCAACACTAGGATGTTCTCTTTGAACCAGATTTCCTGCTGTCTGGAAAAGTCTCTTGGCTTTTTTATTTGTTCTGTGGAAAGAATGCTTCCTGTTTTTTTACAGGTAAGGGTTAACGTTTCTTGGAAATGGTTACTATCCATAGAGAGTATGCAATGGATGCAGAATGAAGAAGTAGCTGGAATGTGACTTGCTCGAAAAGACTGTCATAAATTCACTAGGTCAGGATGGGCTTTCAAATATCAGTGAATGTTGTCTGGCTGCCACAGAATAATGGGAAATGAGAGTTTGTAAATCCAATCCAGTGTAATTACAGAGCAACACCTGTCTGAAAAATTATTTTTGCTTGCAACTGAACCACCTTACTCAGCACTGAATTTTGGCTTAGACTGGAGGATAAAATGTGGTCCCACTTCTTAATTTCATCCTAGAGATTGACAAGTGGTGCCCTTGGCCATATAAACACATGAGTATCCAGTCAAACTTTTGGGATATATTTTGACTCAAAAATGTGAAGAATTGGGAGCCTACAGCAGCAGTAAATCCTTCTAACCTTTATACTGTTTTAACAACGAAGTAGTGAAGGAGAGAACAAGGAAAAATATGTGCAGATGTTCTACCAACTTTTTTTATAGTTTTTAGTAGATAACTTTGGGAAAAGGTGTTTATTTGAAAGGTTTCTTCCAAAAAAAGGAGAGAGAAACTCTGTGCTTACTTCACATTCTAACACTTAGAACACATTGTCCATTTTTAATCAAGTTCTTGCTGTAGAAATTTGACACATCATTCCTTTAAAATATTTAAAACATCTCTGGTGCATTAGCTACTATTTTTCTCTAAAACATCATTTTTTTAAATACTAAACAGTAATAACTGGCTACCCCTCCACCCCCAATTTTTGCGGGATTGTTTTTTACACTGGGATTAGTCTTCTTTAGCATAAAAAGCAGTGCTTGATGTAAATTGGTAAGTTATGCTGTTGTAGCAGATCAGTAACCAGAACCTATGGGACTTGGATGCAGAGCACAAAATACTTCTGATGTTATTAATATAAATAAAGAATGACTGCAACAGATAGTATGTGTGTGGAAGAACATGCAGACAATTGATCATCTTCTTAACTTGTTAATTCTTGGTGATATGTAATTATATGAGGACCTATTCTGTCTCCATGTTTTATGCAAGCACTTTAAGGGCAAGATTAGAAAGCCAAATTGTGCGTTGCAACTGTAATATGAAAACAATAAAATGAAATAAAATAGAGAAAGGCTAAATTATAAAATACTGCATTTGGAATGCAAAATTAAATGATCAAATGCAAACTGGAGAATAATTGGATTGCAAAAAAAAATCAAACTGAATGATTAATTATAGGTAACACTTCAGCAGTGATTTTTTTTTCTAACTCTTTTTCATGCAAGAGCAGTGATTGCTCTCTCAGTAGCACTGACAATTTCTATAATTCAGTTGTGTGTTGCATGGAAAGTATTGTTGGGGATTTGAAAGGAATATGGAAAAGGGAAATGAAAATAAATATATTTACCTCTTTACACTATGGCCAATTTTTAAATTAATTATATTTGTTTATTATAGAAAACAAAGCCTGGACATGGATTTAACAGTCCACAGCATGTTAGGTTTTTGGATTTAATTATTTTGGTCATTAGGAGGCTAGTGATCAATAAGAGTCTTGCAAGGATAAGGGGGGAAAAAGCAATTCAATTTTCAAGAAGAAAGATGGCATTTACCATGTGTAAATAACAGAATTATTTTCTGACCTGGGGGGGATATGGTGGAGTTGATGTAGGATAAGCATAGTTTGGACAGACATCTATTTTTGAATCTTGCTTCAGGACAGGAAGATGGACTAAGCAGTCCTTTGAAACAATTTCTGTTCCTGAATGTGCAGTAAACAATAATGAGAAGAATAATAAAGTTGTTCTGTTCATCTTGGTTGTCCTGTATCCTGTAACCAGGGAATACACTGTGCTTAATTTTGGGAAAAAGACATATTCCGAGTGGGGGAGATGCTGTCAGAAAAGACGTGTTTTAATTGCGGATCTGGCAGGAGTAGCTAGGTAGATGAAATTTATAGAGAACCTCCCCTTGCTGAGACCATCCAATGAGATCTGAATTGAGTATTTGTTTCTTGCTACAGAATAATAATTTGATTGGCATTCAGCAA